TTTCTAGATAAACACGGCACATTGAATCAAAGGTCCATGTAATGAACCATTTCTTATGAATGTCATCATACATGCCCAATGAATTCATTGCTCTATCATAATTTTCCAGATATTCAGATATGTTTCCTGAACCTCTAGAAAATTGTGGGACAGTCTCTCTAAGGAATTTGATGACCTTTGGTGTTTCATAAACAGGCGTCGTTGATTTAGGACCTCTGTTTCTGTGTTTGGGTAAACGTCTATGCGATCTGTCTGCTGAAGAGGAATTAGACCCATACAACAGTGCAGATGGCATATCAGTTACATGGCCTTCAGAGTGGACAGTGCAATCACTTTCACTCCCATCACTCTGAGCTTCTTGTTCACTGTCACAACTCTGATCTGCATCAGAATTCTGCCAGTGCACAGAACCATGTCTGTTTTCATTCCTATCACCTTGAATCGGATTCCTTCTGTCAAGCCTGGCCAGGACAGTCTTTTCAAACTGTTCTGCCCAAGATTGCCAAGAATCTACAGGTGTTTTCTCAGAATTACTCACATCTTTACTTAGAGACTGTTTTATGAAAACCTGGTTTGGTGTGGGAAAATCATAATAAGGAGGGGATTTACAAATAGTCTTTTCTTGCATTTTTGTGCAACTTTTTGGCACAGAATGATGACTACCAACCTCACTGTCTAATTTCTGACTCTCCTTTTCATATTCATCCAATTGCATTTTAAGCTGATTTATTTCCTGTGCATATTTATCCATCAAAGCTTTCATTTCTTTTTCATGATCAGCCTGACGAGTTTTATGCTCAGCAAGTAAATCTTGGTATTTCCCATTTTGAATGCCCAAATCGTCACTGTACGTGTCCAATTTGGCATTCAGTGACTTGTTTTCATCACACACCTTAAGAAGTGCTGTCATAAAGAAAGGCCAAGAGTGTATTATGAACGCCATTTTCCTTTCTATGTTCTTTTGTTCAGCAATTTCTTTAAGATATATGATGATGTGTTCATCAGTTAGAATGGTGTGTTTAGCTTCCCATTCTATGCTTTTCAACCAAACCTCATAGGTTGCATCATTTTTCATATGTTTATGAATATGAACTAGAGCATGTTTTCTTAGGTCTTCAATTATTTCAGTATTATCTGTTACAGATTTATCACTGCCACTGGCCATTTTTATTTTTATTTTATTGATTAATCTCAATACAAAACTCTTTTCTATATTAAGATTAAATTGCATGAATTACACCAATATTATTATTATATATGAAATACAATTTCAACTTAAACGATCTCAGCACCGTGCCTCCAATATGTGGGGATATTTATGGGATAATAATAGTAACAGTGAGAATTGCCCACTAATTCAATTCTCAGATCCCAAAGAACGTTTATCGTGTTAAGTGGAATGTATTTCATATAATAATATCACAATGTATAAAAATAGATTTTTATTTATAATAACAAATAATAATAATAATATGTAACATGCATGATAATAATCAATGAATATCCAGTACAAAATTATATGCAATACAAAGAAATGGGTATTACGTTTCAATGGCTATTAACTCATTATCTGTCAAGACTTCTACGATTTATGAGGTATCCTTAACACAGGCTGAAAGTGAAACTTTTCACAGCGAAGAACAGAATTCCTCAGAGTGCAGCGTAAGGTCGTAAAGTTTAGCAGACAGTTAGAATAACCCTTTCAATGCTGGCTAGATCTCCTAGGTAGTTAAGATCTATTCTTATGTAATTTTTAAATAAAATAACATTTAAACCAGTTTAAATTCATTTTCTTAAACCATCCAATAAGAGAATCTACATATTATATAAGCAGATTTTTAATTTGTCTAAAAGATATCTATCTTAATTTAGAGCAAATCAATACACCTGGATAAAAACAGCGGTATGCTAACACGTGATAATATCACATCAATATATAATTATTCTTAATTCCACCTGCAGAATGGAATATTTATAACTATATATTCTTAGTTAACTAAGATTTCTTAATATGGAAATCTGACCGTGCTTTATCCAGTCATATATAATGCTATTAATACATTTTAATTAATTTAATTTAATTAAATGAAACCAGTATAATTACCAGTTGAGTAGATATTTCATCCGATTGGTAGTCTCTCTGCATGGAGGTGTTGGTTAGAAAGTCAGTAAATTCTAAGTGTTAGAGTTTTAGGAGTAGAGTGTTAGTCTCAGATGTTGTCCGAGTTGGAATTCCCAAACTTCCAATTCCTCTCTCCTCTCCTTTGCATATCTTGCATCTGCCTCCTCTCGTGTATTTTTTTTTCTCTATCTTCCCTTTGTCTTAACTTTTAAAGGGCCAGACTCTCTGTACGTCATCAGTTGATAACCCAATAGAAGCACTAGAGGTATGGTTATCTTCCAGATCGCAAATTAGTTATTTGGTCTGTAGAGGGCAGTCTTGTCCCACTAAACATACCTATCCAGGAAAGAGTTAACTTTTCCTGGTGACTATTTTGACGTCATTTTGGCCTATCTAGATAGTGGCTATAACTTACATATCCTTCAAAGATCAAAGGGGTTCTTAAATTTTGTCCAGACTATGTGTCTGCAAATCTGCTATAATTTCTGATATGACAGATCATGAACTAAGTTTACCCTTTTCCATACAATGGTACCTTATATGTATAGACAGTTAAATATTAAATTATTTAATCTTCTCTGTCACAATTGTCTGGGTTTAGATTTGATTATATTCTTCTTATCACTTGTTTATACTATGCTATACATTCCTTAGCTCTGGCAAAGAGGCCAGTCTTACAGAAAGAAATCTAGTGTCTTCTTTGTTAACTTGAAATAACAAAATGGAGTCTGGTCTGTTCAGAGTGACTCAGAATATACACTTTTAGTTTCTATCATAGCACAAAATGTCTGCCGATATAAATACTCTGACAACACGGGGACTACACTACCTGGTAGGGTGGTGACGGCCATGGATGGCTGAGGACACCACAGTACCACACACGACAAGGTAACGAACCCTTGACTACAGACACGCCCCACGGGCAGACGCACACCTGTACAGGCACCCAAGCTGCTAACTAGGGACGACTGACGACAGTTGGACTGACTCCCCAGGTACACACCAAGTGCGTTGAGCCAATACCGGCACCTCACAACTAGGACGAGGTGCGGGGACGGGGGTGGGTGAGATCGGGGACCTTGGGCCGACTCCTGGTCGCGGGACCTGACCAGCACCGGGACCTGACTCCTCTCTCTCCCCTTTACAGCTACCAGTTTACCCTCCCCCTTCACGCCCCATATTCGAGGATGATGTCAGGTCACTTTAAGCAGGCGGATCTCTGCCTGTGGTCGAACAACGTTCGGGGCCTTAACGCTCCGGAACGGCGCTCACACCTTCTCCGCACCCTGTGGGCGGCACGCGCGTCGCTTGCATTCGTCCAGGAAACTCACTTCCAGGGGCGAAATGCACCGGCGCTGCGGGACACCCGCTTCCCGACCGGATACTTTGCCAACCACTCACATGCAAAAAGTCGGGGGTGGCAATTCTCATAGCCCGCACGGTGCCCTTTCAAAGCCAAGCTGAATTGGCGGACCCAGAGGGCCGCTACATATTCGTGAAAGGCACGATTGCCGGACATCCCTATACCTTGGCGTGTGTCTATGCACCCAATACAGCACAACATAACTTCCTGACACGCACCTTGCACGCCCTGGAACGCTTCAGAGAAGGCATGTTGATCCTGGCAGGGGATCTCAACCTAGCCCTGGACCCACGTCTGGACACCTCCCTAGAAACTAGCTCCCTACCGGCTTCCTACCAACGCAAGGCCCTTATTTCCCTCAAGAACTCGGGGTTGGCAGACTCATGGCGAGTGGCCCACCCACTAGGGAGGGACTACTACTACTCAGCGGTCCACAGCTGCTACAGTCGGTTGGACTATATCTTCCTCCCCATTGAATACCTCTCGCTCTTGCAATCCAGTGGGATCCACGCGGCAACTTGGTCGGACCACGCTCCGGTCTGGACTAAGATTGCCTCCCCGCTGTACAGACCACGGGAGAGGTAGTGGCGGCTCAATGAGCAGGTCTTGGAGGAGCTGGAGGCGACAGTGGAGATGGGTGACGCACTGCAGAAGTACTTTGAGGAGACCACCCCAGACGTGGAACCATCGATGATATAGGAGGCACACAAATGTATGATCCGCGGCCATCTCATACGTTATTGTACTCAACGGAAGAAAGCCCAAAGGCAAGCAGTCACGGACCTGGCACAACAAGTGGCAACCCTTGAAACCCTACATAAGTTTACCCTATCAGAAGATACCTACAGAGAACTCCTGGAGGCGCGGAGAAACCTCAAACAATTGCTCTCGCAAGGCCTTCTCCGAACCATTCGCAGATCCCGACGACACTTCTACGAATACTCGGACAAATGCGGGAGGCTCCTTGCCAGGCGCCTGGTAAGGGTACGAAGACTCACACACATAACCAAGATCTGTGACCAGACTGGCGTGCTCACTCAACGCCCAGACAGAATAGCGACGGCCTTTCACCATTTCTATACGGACTTATATAACATCCCAGAAACACGAGGTGCAGCGGCCCGGAAGAGGCATGAAACCGAGATCGCGCACTACTTGGAACAACATATCTCGCGGACTCTTACGGACGATCAAAGGACTGAAATGGAGGAACCCATTTCCCTAGAGGAACTCAAATACGCTCTTAAGATCGCCAAAGCCCATAGGGCGCCAGGCCCGGATGGCCGCCCCGCGGCAAATTATAAAAAATTTCAAGACATCCTGCTGCCACACCTTCTGGGTACCCTAAATCACCTACTAGAAGGCGGCCACCTCCCGAGAGATACACTGGCTGCCACTATCTCTCTTATTCCAAAAGACGGGAAGGACCTGACGAACTGTTCCAGTTATAGGCCGAACTCCTTACTCAACTCTGATTTGAAGCTGTTAACTATAATACTGGCCTTGCGAGTGGGGCGCGTATTGCCGGACCTGGTGCACCCAGATCAGGTGGGATTCATTCCCGGCAGGGAGGCACGCGACACCACCATCAGGGCTCTCAACGTGATCCACCTGGCGGGGAGCGGCCGGAGGGGGATCCTCCTCCTCTCGACCGACGCTGAGAAGGCGTTCGATCGGGTGGACAGGGGATTCATGCTGGCGACGCTCCGTACGATGGGATTCGGGCCCCACATGTTGACCTGATAACTGCCCTCTACACGACACCAACAGCCCGCCTGCGCATCAATGGGGCCCTAACAGCCATTCAACATCCGCAATGGCACGAGGCAGGGGTGCCCGTTGTCCCCCCTCCTGTTTGCCCTCTCGCTGGAACCATTCCTGGGGGCGGTCAGACGGGATGGGGGAGTCATGGGCCTCGCCTATAAAGGTCTGGAGCAGAGAGTTGCGGCATACGCGGATGACCTCTTCTTTCTTGCCAACCCACTCATCTCTCTCCCGAACCTACTAGCAAGGTTCCGGGAGTACGGCCTGCTCTCTAACCTTAAACTCAACGCTGAGAAGTCGGAAGCCTGCCCGTTAAACCTATCTGCCGCTGACACGACTCATCTATGGACACAGTACCCATTTAAGTGGTGTGCGGATAAGCTCAAATACCTTGGCATTTGGCTCACCGGAGACACGACGCGCCTATTCCAGGAGAACTTTGTCCCCATTCTCCGCACACTACAGCACGACATGACGACCTGGAGCGGCCTGTGCATTTCATGGCTCGGGAGAATCAATGCCTTAAAATTAAACCTTCTCCCTTGACTTCTTTACCTCTTCCAGACCGTCCCAATTATGATACCCAGGACCTTCTTCCAGACGCTTAATACTGCGATAATAAAATTTGTGTGGAAGACGGGACGACCTAGGGTTAACGGGGCGCTCCTGTCTCTGCCCAAAAGGATGGGGGGCTTGGCCCTCCCTTCACTAGTCCACTACTACAGGGCCACCCACCTGCTCCGGCTGGTGGTCTGGCACACACTAAACTCAGACAAGCTCTGGAGGGAACTAGAGAATGTACAAGTGGATCGAAGGCTGCCAGCCGCGGTATGGACAGCGCACCCCCTAAAGGACTACAGAATGACCCACAACCCATTTATCCGGGCCACGACGCAGGTATGGATTGCCACTCGCCTGAAGGACGGACTCACTACAATGCCAGGTCCTCTGACTCCTATAACCCATAATCCAGATATCGCGGACGGCCTGCGACCTGGGGATGTGACGGGACTCGGGGACCCGGACTGGACATACATGAAACAGCTATGCTCCACAACGGGACTGAAAACATTGAGGGAACTGATCCCAGACGGCACCATCTCTTTAATGACTAGGTTCCGCAATCATCAGATCCAGCACTTCTACCGAACCACGGTGGGCAAACACCTATTCCATAGAGAACTAACCGCCTTTGAACACATGTGTGTGGCCAGGGATAGACCACTGAAAGGAATCACACGACTCTACTCCCTACTGCTCACCACCGCACCACCACGATATATGTCCCGCTGGGAACAAGCTACAGACCAAACAATAACAGACCAACAATGGGAGAAGATCCACGTGCTAACACACCAAGGTACGCTCAGCTCAAAACTGCAGGAACTTAACTACAAAATATGGTCAACTGGTACAGAACCCCAGCAAAACTACATCGCATGAACCGAGAAATTCCTGACGTCTGCTGGAGGTGCAGAGCCGAGGGTGGGACAGACTTCCATATTTGGTGGTCGTGCCCTACAATCCAGCAGTACTGGAAACAAATTCATTCCAAAATTCAGAGCATCGCGGACCCGGACCTACCGTTACAGCCCTTACCGATGCTACTCCACCACACCACACGCCCTATAAGCTACATACAAACGTTCCCTGACCAAACACGTACTTAATGCAGCGAAATCTCTCATCCCCACCAAATGGCGCGCGACGGAGCCACTGTCGATGGAGCAATGGATGGAACGCATGGAGGACATATACAGTATGGAATCCCTCTCGGCATCGCTACACGGCACGGGAGACAAATGTGCTATCACCTGGCTCCCTTGGTGCACCTATATAGCCCAGGGATGAACCGCAGCGATCAGGGACGGATGCCACTAGGTAGCGGAGAACTAGGGAAGCACTTGACCCGCCCCACAGTGACCATACAAGATACAGGAACCCGCCTACCTTCCTCCTCCCCCCCTCCCCCTTTTTTTTTTCTCCTTGCTACTCTTCTCTCTCTCTCTCCCACTGCTCCCCTCCTTCCCTCCCCCCGCCTCCGGGCCTGACTCTTGGCCCCCCTTTTCCTTCCCCCCAGTCAGGAGGTCATTGGCACGACAGTGATGGTCAGGGGACGCAGGGGATGGGGGGGACCCATGGCCCGGACGGGTCGTCCGGTGGGGGGCTTGGGAGGGGGGGGGGCACATTGGAGGGGGACAGCTACTAGAGCCGAACCCTGGACCAGGAACACAGTCATGTCCAACGGGGGGGGGGGCGGACGGACGTCCCACACCGGGTACCCCGTGTTAAGACACTCACCGCCAGGTAGATGAAGCCGCCGTTTAGTAAATAATCCCCTTCTCCAGAAATGCAGTTTATATCCAGCCGACCGTCAAACTCCCGAACGAAGTCCACGAACACGGCAACTCCCGAACAACAAAACAGTCGAACGCCTTCCACAGCTAAAAATAACGAAGCGCTGTCCCAGTAATAATTCCCCCCACAAACGAGACCAAGCTCCGTCTTGAGGGTCAAATCAGGATCTGTTTAATGGGGGCTACCTGCCCGGTATTTATGCAGGTCTCCACAATGTGGACACTCCCCGAGGGGACCTTGTGGAAGACTGTAAAATTTATTAGACAGTAGCCAATCGCAGTGGCTTCAATATAAGCCCTTCCCATTTTACCCATAAATCCATCTTCTCTACCCCGGAGATAATTAGGAAGAAACCTAATTATCTCCCAGGGTAGAGACAATCGCCATTTTACATTACAGTAGTAAAAATACATTAAAATACATAACTGAAGAAATACCGAATGAATATAGTTCGTGTAACGTATCCCCAGACAGCCTGGATCTGAGTGTATGTTTTCACCGAATAGCGCTCAGATCCGATGTATCTAGTCGAATCGCCATGGAGTCAAAGTCTTTCACCAGTCCTTCGGTATACGAATGACTCCATGGGACGGCTGTCTGAGTAAAAGTCCATACGAATGAATAAAAACTCTCGAACGACCGACGTTCGCATGCCTTGTCGAAATAGAAGGTAGGCAGCAGCTTCCAGCGGTGTTCGGTAGTTTAAGTGTCCGTTTTTAGTTCCATACAATTTGTACCGAACACCGCTATGCGTTCGTGTGTCCCAAAATGGCCGCTGCCTCGTGGTCGACATGCGAACGACGACCACCCGTACGAATGGAACGGAGAGGTGTCTGCGGTTAACCACAACGTTCTAATTGGGGCCAAGAGGTTAACCAGCAGCAGACTCCTCTCCTGGGTGGTCGTTCGTTCGGTAGTTTCAATCGGTAGTTTGCAAATTACACGAACGGGGGTATACGAACAGGAAATCCAGCGAACAAAGGGAAACAGACGAACCAGCAACACAGATGAATCTGTCACACCCCGACCGACCCAACGGGTACGCAACCATATCAAACCTGACGCGGTGGACAGGGAGCTGACACGCCCCACCCAGCACCAATGTATCTGCGGTTCCCCACGACTGCTTCATGACAGACCACTAGATCGGTCCCTTAGCTAGGGGACACCTTCCCAACCTGACAAAATGGAGAGAATCTCCACCAAGACACCGACCTGACCCCCGACCTACGCTGACCAAACACACTTCAACTATATACATAGCTTACACTCTTGCATACACGCGAGATACCAAGAGACAGGAAGGGCGCTCCACCAGGACGACAGCCCACAACTAAAAGCCTCATCCCACAAGCGCTTTCATGTAGGGTTTGTTACAGATCGCTAAAAGTTGCTTGTTACTATTATTTTCTACCCAAGGTAACTGACAAGAGCATTGACACGGGATGTTATGTATTCGGCCATATCTGAGCTGTAAAACCCCGATTGTTATTCTTTTTTCCTTCTGTATCTCATACACTTTATTATCTCAATAAAAACTGATTGGTTAAAAAAAATAAATAAATAATAAAATGCACACAGATCCAAGAGAATACGTTTATTTACAAAACACAGCTTATACAATTGGCGGCATGTTCTAGATACAGATCATATTGGCTTGATATTAGAATTCGAGAGACTGGAAGGATGCCTGCATTTCTGTAGTAGGGTGCCAGGAGTCCTAAACCTCTTACAACATGTACACTTGGTGCAGTGGGAATTTTAGAATACACAAGCAGGATTGGCTGGTTCACCAGTGGGTATCATGCGGCAAAAGATGTGATGCACGGAGGGGGCCCGATGACCGCCAAGAATGGCAAACCTGCGGATACAGCTCAGAGCTTAAAATAAATAAATCTATGGCTAAAACAAGTCTTTACTACCTGAATGCAGTCTGTAGCTGAGCGATAGAATTCCTTTGGTACATTGAGTTATTCGGCTGAAGGGTGCCTTTCTAGAATGTATTTTGAACATCCCTTGGGATAAATGCAGCGCTGGATTGTTTCCCTCTGCTGGAAGGCTTACACAGTGATAGCTTTACACTGGGATTGAAGGCGCTCTCTAACCTAAAAGCTTACTTGGTGAAAGAGCTTTTTTCCTGTGAGCTTCCCCTGGAAGAGGTAATGTGTGAAGCTAGTCCTGCAGGCTATATATTATCAGAAGGGTAAAGGGCAGATCCCAAACATGCATTAGTGATAATACAGGTGATACTCGAAAATTTTGAATATTGTGAAAAAGTTCATTTATTTCAGTAATGCAACAAAAGGGGAAACTAATATATGAGATAGACGCATTACATGCAAAGCAAGATAGTTCAAGCTGTGATTTGTCATAAGTGCAATGATTATTGTTTTACAGCTCATGAAAATCCCAAATCCACAATCTCAGTAAGTTAGAATATTGTGAAAAGGTGCAATATTCTAGGCTCACAGTGTCCCACTCTAATCAGCCAAGTAAGCCATAACACCTGCAAAGCGTTTCTGAGCCTTTAAATGGTCTCAGTCTTGTTCAGTAGGAATCACAATCATGGGGAAGACTGCTGACCTGACAGTTGTGCAGAAAACCCATCATTGACAACCTCCATAAGGAGGGAAAGCCTCAAAAAGTAATTGCGAAGAAAGTTGGATGTTCCCAAAGTGCTGTATCAAAGCACATTAATAGAGAATTATGTGGAAGGGAAAAGTGTGGAAGAAAAAGGTGCACAAGCAGCAGGGAGGAAAGCAGCATGGATTGTCAGGAAAAGGCCATTCAAAAGTGTTGGGGACTTTCACAAGGAGTGGACTGAGGCTGGAATCAGTGCATCAAGAGCCACCCCACACAGACGGATCCTGGACATGGGCTTCAGATGTCATATTGCTCTTGTCAAGCCGTTCCTGAACAAACAACAACGTCAGAAGCGTCTTACCTGGGCTAAAGAAAAACAGACCTGGTCTGTTGCCCAGTAGTCCAAAGTCCTCTTTTCTGATGAGAGCAACTTTTGCATCTCATTTGGAAACCAAGGACCCAGAGTCTGGAGGAAGAATGGAGAGGCACACACTGCAAGATGCTTGAAGTCCAGTGTGGAGTTTCCACAGTGTGTTGATTTTGGGAGCCATGTCATCCGCTGGTGTTGGTCCACTGTGCTTCATTAAGTCCAGGGTCAACGCAGCCATCTACCAGGAGATTTTGGAGCACTTCATGCTTCCTTCTGCAGACGATCTTTATGGGGATGCTGACTTCATTTTCCAGCAGGATTTGGCACCTGCCCACACTGCCTGCTTGATTGGTGAGCAAACTTGCCTGATCTAAACCCCATAGAGAATCTATGGGGCATTGCCAAGAGAAAGATGAGACATGAGACCGAACAATGCAGAAGAGCTGAAGGCTGCTATTGAAGCATCCTGGTCTTCCATAACACCTCAGCAGTGCCACAGGCTGATAGCTTCCATGCCACGCCGCATTGAGGCAGCAATTGCTGCAAAAGGGGCCCAAATCAAGTGCTGAGTCCATATGCATGCTTATACTTTGAGGTCCAATATTGTTCTATGTACACTCCTTGTGTTATTGATTGCATGTAATATTCTAATTTACTGTGATTGTGGATTTGAGGTTTTCATGAGCTGTAAGCCATAATCATCGCACTTATGACAAATCACGGCTTGACCCATCTTGCTTTGCATGTAATGCTTCTATCTCATATATTAGTTTCCCCTTTTACGTTGCATTACTGAAATAAAAGAACTTTTGCACAATATTCTAATTTTAAGAGTATCACCTGTAATAAGACAAATACTTTATTCCAAAAGCTTTTTTTTTTTTTTTTTAAGGCAGACTATAGTTAGCCACATATTAAGGATTGCCCTGCAATGCTTCGTGTCGGCAAAGTAAAAATATCTAAAAGGAATGTCACTCTACAAAATAATCTAATTAAAAACCCTTTAAACCGGGTTCCACATCACACCGCAATACAGAGATTGCTGCCTATCATTGCCGGCTTGGAAAGCAGAGACGTACAACGCCAGATAAAGGGAAGACACATGAAGGACGGATTTATTTATCCATTTTTATATGGGTACAAAAAAAATTATATATAATTCCATTAATTTGTGTCTTAAATCACAAAAAAAAAAAAAGAAAAAAGGGTAAAGGAACAGGTTTAAAAATATAATAATGTTAACTTAAATTTAAAAAAGAAGATTCAGACAATTCTAATGGCAGATATAATATCCAAGTATCTGAAAGGCCATTTGATGCCTTTGAAAATAGGATAAAGGTGTTCATTGAAGACACATAATCCAACAGACATCTGTAAGGAGTTCAGAGCTGTACGATCAATTTTACCAGTTAAAATACAAAGCATCATACTTACTAGAGAACACAGTAGAACTAGCTTTGTCATCCGTACAATGTGATAAAGTTACGTAAGTGTTGGATTAAATGAATTCGGACCATGCCTGAGTGTTTAAAGGGACAGTGCACATAAGGGAGGAGAGAACCGTGAAAAGGGCAGTGGATGTAAAATTGAATATCAGGTAACACCAAGAAGGGAGGCCCGGGAAGAAACAGAGCCTGGGTGAGGATTGGTAACTTGGGAGTAGTAGGGCCAGGTGTACCTGTGTGCATTATGGGCTTGCCCAGAATATATCCTTACAGTATAGGTAAGGAGAGTAGACATTCCTTCGGATAGGACTAATGGCAGGAATAGTATCATCAAGTGAAACCATCTGTGAAGGAACACAAGCCGTGTGTGCTGGTCTTTAAAGACATGTTCACAATATGATCCAAATTGTGCGTGAACTATATTGTTACAATGACAAAAGCAATCTGTAATATTGCCAGCGATTAACCTCACAGACATTTTACCCTTCAGCTAGTCCATGATACTCCCAGACAGAGCACTGTAGAGACCACATGATGGCCAGACTCGCTGATACGGCTACAATACAGAGTACAGGGATGGAAATGCTTTTAATAAATTAAACTGCCACACCTTACAGAGCCACAGCAATAAGGCACTAAAAAGTTAGCTTACCATCTGTCAAACAATATACATACATTAATCGTGAATGAAATGTGATCAAAGGCTAGCGATCCCTCCCTACCCATAAAATGCAGCTGGCACATGCCGCCATATTTAGAAAGCCCACATTAAAAATGCTGTGTAGCCTGCAGGTTTTTTGAAACATAAGTTCTTGCTTGTCCAGCAAATTAAAATACAAAAGGAAAAATATTCGACCAAATCTTGATGATAAGTTGTAGTGACTGCAGCAGTCGTCCTAGATAGTGAAAGCCAAAAATGATACGCAAATTAAAGACATAATTATAATAATATGCATTAATTGGGAAATGTACAAAGTATGAATTTGCTGCCGTTGGGATGAAAACGACACGGCAACAAACGCGTTAATCCGGCGGGCTCTTGGTGCAGCCAAATAGCAGGTATAAAAAGCAGTCTATTCAAAGTGTGTCCATTCAAAGCATGACCTCATTTGTTCTTGGACTGCTTCCGTTCAAAAAACTGCAAGAAAAAAAGAAAATATAAAAATCTTACAGAACAGAAACATTAACAGACTGAACAATTTATTGGTTACCACAGCATTAAAGCCCAGAGCTGAACGGACTTCTACTTCCCCTAAACTTTGGAGCCCCCCCCCTTTTTTTTAAATGCAACATTCATTAGAAATGTGAGAACACAGAATTCATAGCGGGAGCGTGAATTTGAATCCAGCGCAGCAAAGGATACAAAAAAAAACTCAATTGCCATACTCCAATATGTACTAAGATTTAACTACAGAATTACAATTATGGAAATACTTTGTGCGCACACATTGGATTTTTATTCTTTCAAAGGTTCATCCTTTGCTTCATACAAATATAGGGTATACGGTATTATGAGAAATACATACTAATTTCCTTGCAAAGCTTCAGACAAGTTTAGAATATATTGTCAAAATAGAAATATAATTTTTTTCAGATTCTCCTGTGATGTGGGTAACTACCACCCCCCCTCCCCCCCTCCCACTTTCTATTTAGAAGAATGAAGTGATACAGCCTCCTGTACAGCGCAGCAGAGACTAACGCCATATGCAGTCGTTTGTGGAACAGAAAGTCATTTTGCCTTTGGGTTAAGATTAGAGCAGGTAAGATGGGAAATGCGAGAGATGGTATACCTTTAATTTTATTTTTCTTGTACAACAATGGAAACCAAAACTAACCTGCTCACCTACCTGCTACCATCACCATAGAAAGAATGGAATTTGCAGAAGTGATTTTTTGTGTAAAGTAATAGATTAGATGAATCCAGAAACCGGATTTAAATTCCAAATTGTGAGCACATGTTGCACACAGGATGCAACAATCTAGCAGTATGCCAATTATACAAATTCAGATTATAATCATTAGGTGTCTAATGGAGAGAAGCAAGCCAGAGAGGCAAGGGGTTAATCGGGCTGATCAGTTACCATCTACTAAGGTGAATGTGCAAACAGATAAGAATCACCAATGGATCCCGGATGGTACAATTCACCAATGGATCCCGGATGGTACAATTCACCAATGGATCCCGGATGGTACAATTCACCAATGGATCCCGGATGGTACAATTCACCAATGGATCCCGGAGCCCTCTGCCAACTCTGCTCTGACCAAGGAGGATAGAACTCCTTCCATCCAGTAACCAAATTCCATTACATTTTGTGCGATTTGTGTAAGAGGAAGAAAGTGTGTGAATCAATGGCCTCACACCACACAAACACCTGGCTTACCTGCGGATGCTCATCGTGCTCCGGCCTGATTGAGAGAAAGCCCAAATTCATCACATCAAAATAAACAGCATTTCCACACAACAACAAACACTGGGATCCAACGTATGTAATACTCTGTCCAGCCATGTACAGCAGGACTGGTTTAAAACCAGGAATCCTGGATATTGCGGTAGAATTGCAAAAGACCGCCAGTAATCTTACCTTTAAAACAAGTGCAGTCTTTACACCTTATCTGCATAATTTTAAGGGGATAGTGAAGAAAAAAATAAAATATTGCTCATTTTAATGGCCATATATTTGGCTAGAAAAAAAACCCATCTACAAACCCTAATCTAGGAAACTTTCCTTCAAACATTTAACCAAATTTTGATACATTTCAACTTCAAAACATTTTAAATTGCGTTCTGTGTGGAACCATTCATGCTATTCTGCATATCATGGTTTTTGTTTTAAAAGAATGTCTGGTGCGAATGATGTAAACTCCATCTCCTCTTGGATCTCAATCAATGCCTGACAACTCCTCTGGAAGTTGTAGTTCTGCAGCTGGGGCCTACTTGTTAAAATACAATGTGTCGGGTTTTTAATCTCATGAATGAACCCACCTTGCTTGATCTCTTGGGGGATTTTGCTTGGGAGACCCTGGGAGATCGTCTGCTTGGTGATTTGCGGATTGCATGAAGTGGGGATTTGGAGGAAGTACTGCTGGTGCTACCACTTGACCCTCTCGTTCGCGGGCTGATTTTAGGGGTTTCAGTCTTTTTGCTAGTACTCTTTCTCAGGAAGCTACTGCCAATTTTTTTCGGGGTGTTTAGAATACTGAAGGCCATAGTTTGCCGCCGGCTGGCCTGTGTCTGCTGTAAGATAAAGAAAAATCAATAAGCCAAGAGGAGCCATCACAATGAGAACCTCATTTTATTGATCCTTTGTGTGAGAAGACCAGCGTTACTTACAATGGGAGCCATCAGTCTATAACTAAAATCAATGATCTGCAGAACTCAGCAGAAGAGTGATTTCATGCCAGTAGAAACAGCAGCTTTGTTATTTCTGAGCTGTGTGTGTGCTGGGCCTGGAGATACAGGTCAGCTCACAATAATTAAAAGGCTGTAAATTAGACAGAAGTGGCACTGAAATCTTGAAGACTCACCGGCTGGCTAACCCTAATTTTGCTTTCTGCCACAGACAATTTACGCGGGTCGTGCTTGTCCTTGGGAGTCATAGGTCGCGGAAAGCAGCTGGCAGACTTCTTAGACTATGGGGATAGGGAGAGAAAAACAAAAACAAAACAAAAAAAAGCAGGTTTAAAACATGGTTTGTACTTGTGAATTTTAAACCCACTAGCTTTTAACTGCATGGAGCTAAAAAGTAGTATGGTATTGGCTATTATGAAATATGACATTTTAACTTCAAAACCAGCAAATACTTCAAAGGTACCAGTAACCGCTTGCTGTGCATTTACTCCTCCCCACCTCTGGAGTGTCCGGTCCTTGGTGGGGCTCTTCAGACACCCTCTTCCTCTGCTGCCGTGTAGTGATGTTGCCGCCCCAAGGATGATCAAACTCTGAAGAAGCCAGAGTCATCCTGCGAGTGGACGTTGTGGACTCCTGTATTTGGGAAGGTAGCAAGGTGGCACGTCGCAGAGTCTCTTTAGGGTCTCCAGTCTTCACTTCTTCATCTGTAATGGTGGCAGCCAGAAGCGACGGCTGGTGGGTCAGAAAAAATTTAAATAAATCATACATTTGATTATAATTTCATAATAAAAAGCCATGTGTACAGCTCTACACATTTATAATTAGACATCCTAAAATGAAGTTTGATCCAGAACATCTGACAATTCAAGTGATCAAGACCTGACTGGTACTGGAGTCCACCAGCGAAGTGGAAAGCACATTTTAACTTGTTTCAGGCAACAGATACAAAGTGTGTTAGACATTGCGTACAAATCCCCAAAAACTAAACAATGCACAGTCTGGGAAACAAAATGGACAGTTACAATGAATCATTATCAATAACACTTAGCCTAGAGCTCTGTGAAATGTCCTTCCTTGGAAAGAATGTACTCAAACTATTTGGACCTTCTGACAAGAGCAGACAAGTGGGAATAAAGGTATAGTATGCTCCATATAATGCGTACCCTGGACTCCAGTGGGTAGGAGGTCTTAAGGTGCGGTGGGCATGCTCTGTTCCTTTGCTGCAGCTCCGCTATCCGATTCCAGTCTTCCTGAGGATCTGGCTCGTCCTGACAAGTGCTCATGTAGAAACTGTTGCGACCTGGGAGTAAAATATAAATACTACTAAACAGATAATGGAGTATTGAAAAATACTAGTGCATGCAACTTATTTTACCGGAATACATTGATCGCAAAATAGAAACATAGAATGTGACGGCAGATAAGAACCATTCGGCCCATCTAGTCTGCCCAATTTTCTAAATACTTTCATTAGTCCCTAGTCTTATCTTATAGTTAGGATAGCCTTATGCCTATCCCACGCATGCTTAAACTCCTTTTACTGTGTTAACCTCTACCACTTCAGCTGGAAGGCTATTCCATGCATCCACTACCCTCTCAGTAAAGTAATACTTCCTGATATTATTTTTAAACCTTTGTCCCTCTAATTTAAGACTATGTCCTCTTGTTGTGGTAGTTTTTTCTTTTAAATATAGTCTCCTCCTTTACTGTGTTGATTCCCTTTATATATTTAAATGTTTCTATCATATCCCCCCTGTCTCGTCTTTCCTCCAAGCTATACATGTTAAGATCCTTTAACCTTTCCTGGTAAGTTGTATCCCGCAATCCATGAACCAGCTTAGTAGCCCTTCTCTGAACCCTCTCTAAGGTATCAATATCCTTCTGAAGATACGGTCTCCAGTACTGTGTACAATACTCCAAGTGAGGTCTCACCAGTGTTCTGTATAATGGCATGAGCACTTCCCTCTCTCTACTGCTAATACCTCTCCCTATACAACCAAGCATTCTGCTAGCATTTCCTGCTGCTCTATTACATTGTCTGCCTACCTTAAGTCATCAGAAATAATCACCCCTAAATCCCTTTCCTCATATGTTGAGGTTAGAACTCTATCAAATATTCTGTACTCTGCCCTTGGGTTTTTACGTCCAAGATGCATTATCTTGCACTTATCCACATAAAATGTCAGTTGCCACAATTCTGACCATTTTTCTAGTTTACCTAAATCATTTGTCATTTGGCTTATCCCTCCTGGAACATCAACCCTGTTACAAATCTTAGTATCATCAGCAAAAAGACATACCTTACCATCAAGACCTTCTGCAATATCACTAATAAAAATATTAAAGAGAATGGGTCCAAGTATAGATCCCTGAGGTACCCCACTGGTGACAAGCCCAAGCTTCGAATATACTCCATTGACTACAACCCTCTGTTGCCTGTCACTCAGCCACCGCCTTACCCATTCAACAATATTGGAATCCAAACTTAAAGATTGCAGTTTATTGATAAGCCTTCTATGTGCATCAGTGTCAAAAGCCTTACTGAAATCTAGGTAAGCAATGTCTACTGCACCACCCTGATCTATAATTTTAGTTACCCAATCAAAAAAATCAATAAGATTAGTTTGGCATGATCTCCCTGAAGTAAACCCATGTTGTCTCTGAACTTGACAACATGGGTTTACTTCAGGGAGATCATGCCAAACTAATCTTATTGTATTCTATTCAGCCTTGTACCTTAGCCAGTGGACAGACAGACCCATGTGGTTATTCGCCAGACTACTTTATTATGATTATGGACAGAGGATCATCAATAAACTGATGTTAGAGATAAGAGGTTTAAAAATGATTTCACATAAAATAATGGAAATGGTCAGTCACTGGGCCAGAAGAATAGGTCGAGTTAAATTAGGAAAGAGTACTACACTAGATATCTGGTGCAGTGCTGGATTAGAAGAATATGTCAAGTTAGATTAGGAAAGAGTACCACACTAGATATCGGGTGCAGTGCTGGACTAGAAGAATATGTCAAGTTAGATTAGGAAAGAGTACCACACTAGATATCGGGTGCAGTGCTGGATTAGAAGAATATGTCGAGTTAGATTAGGAAAGAGTACCACACTAGATATCGGGTGCAGTGCTGGATTAGAAGAATATGTAGAGTTAGATTAGGAAAGAGTACCACACTAGATATCGGGTGCAGTGCTGGACTAGTTACCTCCTTGTGAAAGCCGTGCAGAGCTGCGGGTGGTGGGTCTGTATCCCGGTAAGTTCATTAGCACAGAGTTATTCAGGCTGTCATCGGAGGAGGTCAGATCTGGCCTGATCAGGGACTCTTGTGATGGAAGGCTGGACAAAGCTGGGGCGGAGATGGCTGGCTGAGGGCGCCCACCTCTCCGGGGTTTTTCTTGATGTAGGCTCTGGTGAGACAACGCAGAGCGCAGGCTGTAGAAAGAAGTGTTGGCACTTTCAGGTTCTACCGTCTCTTCTTTTGTTCTCTATATTAAAAATAGAATGAGTAGAAACATAACTCAAGCACGACTATTAGAAATCATTTTTTCACAAAATAAGGAATTAAAAGTGCAATGCCTCCTTATTATCTCAAATATCACTACACAAAATACTTAAACTCCCAATGTGCTGGATATTGTGTTTATATGCATGTTTTGTTTTCTCCCCATACAGGTCACAGGTCTTACCATTTAATATATAACATTTCCTTTGTTAAGGATCTTTTGCCTGGAGTTACATCGTTTTAATCGGCAGGATTAGAGTGGAATTAATGGGAGAACACAGTAGCCAATATGCAACTAATCTTCTAAGTGACCCGTATGCTTTAGTAGAAGCGGAGTAAATTCCTTTAGATAATGTGTGGATTTGTACGGGAGATGTGCTGCCACAAGGGATACCACAGACTGCCTGACCCGTGTCGCTGCCACCAAGCATGAAAAATGAAACAATCCATGGGAGTTGGAATCCGCTGTGTCAGGGAATGTCAACACAAGGTATCCAAACCTCCTTCACCCCTTGTATATCATTTCCTAATAATATCTCACATATCCTTAACATCCTACCATTATGTTCACCTGTATCCATGGGGTGCATAGAGAAGTCTTTGCGGAACTGCTAATCAGTCTCTGACTGGGTTGCCGTTTATTGTAGGCTTGAAAGGGAGACTCGTGTAACACTACTAACTGTAGCATCTCATTGATAATCGAAGGATAGGAAACATTGCAAAGTATCTACTCCTACCTTGGTCATTGTGATGTTGATGACCTGGGTTGTTCGCCTACGAGCAGATCGGGTCTTCTTACTGGAGTCTAAGGACAGGTCACCAATGGAGCCGATACTGCTGTCCATCTTTGACTGGACCCGGGTGGGGATAGGGGTAAAGTAAAGACTCTCAAGAGACTCCACTTTCTGGGGCAAGCGACCCTGTGCCAAAGAGTCTGGGCTGCCTGAAGATGTGGCTTCTTGATGGGAGCGGCCATTCTTTCTGAAAAGGTTACACAGCATGTTCACCGCATTAACTGAAAATATTCTGCATCTTACTGAATGTTTAACTTTTAATAGAGTGCGCAGGAGCCTGCTAATAAAATACAAGTGTCTACTTCAGGCAAATAAACTGTAAAGCCAACTTATTTCTGGCTATAAAAGTAAAATCCAGCTGGTCTATACTGGCCATCATACAGCCTACGGAAGTAAATTATATACAGCCCTCATCAAAAATGCTCTTCACAGGAAAATGCCTAGCAGTAACAAACCAGCGAACAGCACCACTGTTAACAGAGAGAGGTTACACTGATCTAGGTCTAGGGCTATCCCTCCAGATCAGGACCGGAGGACGCTCTTCCTGATCACTTTCCTAGTGATCAATCTCTAGCGGTCAAGGAAAGCAGACATACCAGGCTTCCAGGATACACATAGAATGTGAAAGGTTTCCAACATTATTCTAATCTGGGTTCTAGTCTTTAAGGGTGTGATAATTAAACTGCAGGAGTGAGTCTAACAGTAGCTAGATACAGGGATGTTCTAACCACTGCATATTGTCTGCTGCCCTGGAGTCAGACGGTAAGCTATGTGCATTCAGAGTGAGGTTCTACATCTAGAGAGACCTTTCATACCCAGTAGAGTTCATTGGATTCTCCTCATCGCTCAAGTCCAGACTGTCAATACTGACGTCCGCGTGGCCCCGCCGTCTTGTTTCCCGTGGGGGGCCCATTGTTTCTCGGCCCTTCATGGCATCAGTCGCTACCTGAAACTTGCCCAGTTCCCTTAACTGGCGGTCCGCATATTCCACCTATGGGGGCAGAAGAGGGGTTATCAATGCAAAAAGATTCCAAATTAGATTAGATTACAGCACATTAAATCGTCAGGAGACAAGACATGGCAGAACACAACCTAACACATGCAATATCCAACTGGGGAGGGACTTGCAAAGGCTTCAGACAAGTGATCTGCAGCTTTTACAAGGTGTCCCTAGATTTATCCCAATGGAACAAAAATGCACAATTAAATGCATGCCTTCATTGGGGCATATCTACTAAATGGCGATTTAGATTTCATTTAAAATGTCCCTTTAACATTTACATATAAAGTCACAGAGCAATTTAGATCAAGGTTTCTTTTTAGAAGTGCTGAAAAGCAAGGCAATGGCAAGTTATAGGGCGGCAGTTGGATGGAGAGTTTGGGCTTTTTCAGAATCGGGGTTATGGTTGCATGCTTGAAGGGTGAAGGAAATGTGCCAGAGTAATGGGAGAGATGGAAAATATTAGCATCATAAGTGGAAAGTCCGAACTCTGTAAATGGTTTTGTCCCTAGATCGTATTACAGCCAATTTGCAATAGGCATCAACAGATAAAAATCGAATGCGAAGGTGGCGGAGCAAATCACACTGCAGTCTCGTAGCAGCGGAAGATCCACAACCGGTCCATAGATAGTTCACACATGGTCTGTGTGCGCAGTTTGTCATTAGATTTTCTACTTAAACAATATAGTGTCAGGAATGCAAGTTTGCCTTCCTGACACTACAGCTATAAAATAACAATTTACCTTAAAAAGATAGTTGACTTACCTTTTTCTGCAGTGCTGCACCAATCTCACCATGGCTGACCCAGTGGCAGAAATAAAACTATGGTCTCAGCCAATCCAATGCTTTCCACAGGATGGCCAATCAACATCTCCTCAGAGATACATTGAATCAATGCTTCTCCATGCAGAGGGTGGAGACTATGAATGTATGTACTGCACACTATGCAGCACTGTCCCAGGAAGCACCTCGAGTGGCCCTCTGGAGTGATTACCACTAGAGTGTTCCTAGGCTGTAAGCACTGCCTTTTTTCTTCAACGACTGTGTTTACTTTAAAATGCTTGCAGGCACTGACTATACTCACCAGAACCACAACATTAAGTTGTTCTGGTGACTAGTGTCCCTTTAAGTTTATTTTGATTAATGTTTAACTGCTAAAAGTGTAGTTATCCTTCTTGCTTTTCTTGTGTGTAAGTGCAGCTCACCTTCTAATCGGCAGCGGTTTTAATTTTGACTTATTTTTGATAGGCTATTGGGCCTATTTTTAAGACTCTTACCTGCACCTCTAAAGACTTCACTTGATTGGTCAGGTTCTTGCAGTTTTGTTCCACCTCTTTACTGTGGAGCAAGGAGTGCTGAAGCTCCCTGTTGAGACGATCTGACTCCATCTTGAGCTCGGAATTCTCTTTGCGCAGCTGCTCCTGCTCCCTGGCTGTTTTCTCCAGGTTCTCATTCAGCTCTTGGTTTTGCACCTTCTTTGCGTCGTAGTGAGATTTGGCCTTGTCCATCTGTGCAGGAGAAAAATAAATAAATAAAATACTAAGATTCCTGGAGCAAGCTATAATTTGCAACCAAATGGGCCCCAGGCTCAAATGCATACTTGACCACTGGGGGCACCAATAGGATGGTACAAAAGGTGTCAATGTGCATGGTGTGTACCAAATAGAAGAAGGATCTATGATTTGGTTACCTCTCAACTTAAAACACTATAGTTCCTGGATTTAAATTTTCGTGTGGATCAAATAGCAGGGTAGGGAGATTTAGATTGCAAAAAACCTAAACTTCAGCTCTGATACAGCTGGTCTTGAGCAGCCTGATCCACCTGGCTGATCTCAGACTAGATGACATTTTGTCCAATCCAATAATTTGATACTTCTCATAGAGATGAACAATGACAATGGATGCACTGCCCACCTGGTGCCAATACCATGCTCTGTCTTATTAAAGCACAGTCCAAGAGGAAAACATAACACATTTAGCTTTACAAACGCCCTAATTGTGCTGTTCTTCATGTACAGTGCCCAGTCTGTCCTCGGCAGAGAATAAAAATGAACCCCTGAAAAACATGTTTTATCCTATAGACTAAGTTCGTTTGCGCAAGGTCCTCTTCAACCTATCGTTCCTGTAAGTTTTTTGTAATTGTCCTATTTGTAGTTACATCCCCCCTCTCATAATATTGTAAAGCGCTACGGAATCTGTTGGCGCTATATACATGGCGATAATCATCATAAGGCAGAGTTCAGCTATAAAATCCCAACCTACCTGTGTTTTATAGTGTTCCACAGCCTTCGTCTGCTGCTCCAGGAGGGATTCCAGCTCGGCGACTTGACTCTGCTTCTTTTCCACCTCCACGCTGATCTCACTTTCTCTCAGCTACATGAATCACAAGAAGACATTAAACAAAGCACCAGGCAAGTCTGGGGGCTCACCCCCTCCCCGGGGCTCACCCGGCTATTGCTCTTTTGTAAATACCTCACATAAGTAAGCTGGGGCATTAAGTTATGTAATGGAAGGACTGCAGCTGAGCATACGTTGCTTTCTTCCATAGAAAAACAAATAAACTAATAACAGATGTTGCATGCAAACAAAATACTAAAATAAGGCATCTTAGCTGGCACAGGGCCTCGTACCTTCAGCTTCTGCTGTTGGGTTTTCAGTGTTTTCTCCTGCTGACTCAACTGTTTGTTCAGCTCCTGCACCTAAAACAGAAAATACACAATCTTCCACCAGCAAGCACAAAGTTCCCAAAACACAGCAATACAAGCAGCTTAAACCAGCAGGGGCTCGTAGGAGTGTGTAAGTATTCCACTAGAGTGCGGTATAACACCTTTCCCAACACATTGCAGCTCACAGGCAGTAGGTCCCAGTTCATTATGAGATCTGTCTATTCTAAGCACATATTAAATGCTCCCAAACCAGTGGAAGCAATACATGAACACGCAGTGGAAGCAATACATGAACACGCAGTGGACATTAACCAACTAGTTATTAGCCAACCTAAACCTTTAGATCAGGTCTTCACTTGAACTCCCACCAGCAATACAGACATTGAAACTCCTAATCTTACTAGCCATGCAGCTACCAGGTTTACACGGTCAGTGGAAGACGTACACTTATTCCTAGGAGACTCCGATCGGTGAAAGGTGGGAGATGCAGAAAGCATGGTGGGTACACAATTGGGTAGATTGGATCCAATAGAAGTAGTGAAATGAATTAGGCCACAGTTAGTTTGAAAGCTTAATAAGAGTATTTTTATAGTTAAAAAAAAAAAAAAAAAAAAAATTCAAAATCAAAATAACCTCCAGGTATTCACCAACTTTCTGTACTAAGTGTGTCTGACTCGACACAAAAGGACTGTGTTCATTGGTAACTGTTTGCCACAAAAAAGGGACAGGATGCAGGGGTTAGCCATGTTCCATGACCGAGGGAGCAAGGTAACTTTAACATACTTATTAAAGAATGTAAAAAGGCTCCTCTGTATGAATTTGAGCCAATGTTAGCCTAGGACAAGGCCACAGAATGTTTTCAATAGAGATATATATAATATAGGTCTAATTTCTACGGGACCTTTTCAAGCAGCTAATCATTGTACAGACATTCTGAGTGCAGGAATAAATTAGGCAGAATTAAAGGGACAGGAGGATACCGTACGGCTGTTGGAAAGCAGAAGGTGCCAAGGAAACAGAAAGTCTTCTAACCTGCAATGTATCATGGAAGCCTTAAGGGGGCAGGTTTCAGAAGAGGACACCCTACAAGCACACGAGGAATCAATGCTCAGACCACACTCGAGTGAAAAAGCATATCCGCTTCACACCTGTGCGATATCCTGCATGCTGCCGCGTGCCTTTTGCAAACAGTTCACAACGAAAACAGCGGTGGCGTGTGAACCCACAGATGGCGTTGCATATAGGTGTGTTAGCGGCATGCACCATCACCGTTTAAGTAGCTGCAGACGCGAGTTGGATATGCTCGTTACCTGCTCAGATTGCTCCTTCTTTGAAGCTTCCAACTGTTCAACCTGTGTGTTACATTGCAAGGAAATAAGCTTCGATTAAGAGAGCGAGTTCTAGTACACAGCAATCTTGAGCATCGGAAAGTCTTGTGGACTGGTTACTAGATCTTCATTTTACAGACTGATTTTAACAAATTCCAGGATTACTCCACAGCTTCCTTCAGCTCATTGAATACATTAAAATGTTTCCGGTCAATTAAAGCTGGAAGGTAAGCTTGTGAGAGGAACTATATCTACAACGGTTACCATATCTACATAAAGAATTGCACAACACAAAAGTGAATGACTGACCAGTTCAGGTTTCCTGCATCGTACTAGTGAAATTATGGTCACGTCGATGTGGTTCTGATATAACATGTGATCAGATACAATACGAAATTAAAGTCACACAAAAACTGCCTTTAACTTAGTATGGATTCCTGAGGACTGAAAAGTTCAGAATGAATAAATAAGGTATATGTTGGACCGGTACCTGAAGAAGCAGTTTCTGCCTTTCCTCTTGGAACTTCTGCCTGTCGTCCATTACCCTCGTCTTTGCATGGTCGTATTTGCTGGTAACAGCTTCCAGTTTTTTGCTGAGATCTTCTATTTGTTCCTTGCCTTCACCAACTGCCCTCTCTAACTGCTCATGGAGAATTTGGAGCTCCTGGGAGTGCTGCTGTCTGATCTTGGCAAGTTCAGCTTCCAAATTCTTCGCCCCTTGATCTTGGGATAAAGCTTTGTTTTGGACAGTCAGTTGACCATTAGCCTGCTGGAGCTCGGTAATCTGAGCCACATAACTTGCTTTCTCATTCTGCAGAACCTCTAGCGCTTGGTCTTGTCTGCTCAAGGTATCCTTCAGCTCCAGCAGCTGGTCAAGTTCTCCCTTGGTTTTTTCAAGTTCTGTCTGCAGACAGTCTGCCTTGTTCTGCTGAATTGCAAACTCCTCCTTGTGCTTCTTATCCATAGCCGTCCGCTCTGCCTTTAGTTCCTGGTTACTGTTCTTCAGGGATTTCAGTTCTTCCAGCATGTTTTGGGAGCTGCTGAGCTGATCTCGGAGATGTGACATTTGCTCTTCTTTCTGGGCACAGGACTGCTTCCAAGACTGAATCTCCTGTTCAAGTGCCTCTTTTATTGTATATTGGGATGAGAGTTTTTTCTGCAGTTCTTCTAAAGACAACCTTTGCTTTTCAGTTTCCACATGGATGTTCTTCACTTCAGTGTTCAGATTCTCAATCACACCTTTCTTCACCTCCAGTTCCTTTGAAGATGCATTCAGGTCTGCCTGGAGTGTGGCGATACGGCCCTCAAGGGATGTGTTTTTGTTTTGTTCCCTTACTAACAACTCGTTAAACTCCATGGAGGACTTCTTATTGGTGATGACTTTTGATGTTAAGCTCTTCATCTCTGCTTCCATTGAGGCGATTTCCTCAGTTTTCTTCCCAACTTCAGCGCGATACGTAGCCGCATCTTCTCTAGCTTCTGTTAGACACTTCTCAGTTTCATGTGACTTTGAAAGAGCAGAAGAGAGCGCCATGTTTGAGTCATTCAATGCCTTTTGGCTTTGCTCTAATTCTTGTACCTTATGGAATAACTCCTTCTTTAATGCCTCAAAGGAGGACTCTGTGTCTGCTTGCGATGATCGAGCATCCTCCAACTGCTTCATTAACTCACATGTCTTCTGCTGTTCCCGCTGGATTTTTGCTTCCAGGTCCTCAATACCCTCTTGTTGTCGTTCCGACACAGAAATCTTCTCTGAAACCATGGCTTTTGCCTCAGCAGCTTCTTTGTGGGCACAAACTATTACTTGATCCTGCTCACTGCATTTTTTTGCTAGCTCCGCCATGTTTGCCTGAAGAACTTGCATCTCACCGAGTGTGGCCTGATACTGCTCTTGGAAGGAAGCACTGTCCTTCTCCTTGCTCTTGAGATTATGCTCCAAAAGATTGATTTCTTTATCCTTTTCACAAATTGCTGCTTTTAGACTAGTGATTTCTGCTTCCATTGTTTTAGCACTTTGCATATAGTTTTTAACGTCTACTTCCAGCATTGAAGATCGTTCCTCATATGCTTTTAAAGTGGTCAAATCACCTGTAAGCTTAGCCACCTTTTGTTGCTCTAGGTGCAATTGATTTTCCCTCAAAGTTGCATCCTTTGTAAGTCTTTCTAATTCACTCTCCTTCAGTGTAATAAGGTCCAGAGAACGAGACAGTTCATTCTGTAAGGAGCTGAACTCATTTTTGTGTGTATCTAGAGATTTCTGTAACTGAGCTTCCACTTCTATTTTAGAAATCTTCTCAGCAGCCAGGTCTGCCAAAGCTCTCTCCTTTTCCTCCCCAAGTTGTGTGATCACATGGGCTTTCTGAGCTGCTACCTCTTGATACTTGACATTGGACTCCTCCAGTTGATTTTTCAATAACTTCACCTCTTCACAGAGCTTCTGGGCTTCACCTTCACGTTCTTTTATAGCAGCCTGAGCAGTGGACATTTTCGATTCCAAGATGGACATTTTTTCAGATTTCTGCTCTTCTTGCCGTTTTATTTTAGATTCAAGCTCTGTTTTCTGAAGCTTTTCTTCAGATAGCTCTTTTGACAGTTTTTGAAGTTCTTGTGTTGCTTTGCCAAAACGTGCCTCCAGCTGAAATAATTGCTCCTTTTCCGCTTGTTGATGCAGCACAAGCTTTTCCTCCAAAGACTGAACGGCGCTTCTCAATTTCTGCTCCTCAATCTCTTTCTCTGTAATGTTTGACAGCGCTTTAGACAGCTCACATTCAAGCTTAGACATCTTATCCAATAGGACAGACGTGGCTTCTTGAGCCTGGGACTCCAACTCCAACGATTTTGCCTTCTCCTTCTCTAATGTGTGACAAACTGCAGAGTGTTCTTGTTTCAATCTTTCAATTTGTTCCTCCATCTGGCAAGAGTTTTGAGCAATGCCTTGTTGGGCCTCTTCATACTTTGACTTCCATTTGTCCACTTCCATTGTCAGCTCCTCTTGCTTTGCCTGTTGATGTTTGATGGCAGATGAGGTTTCGGAGAGTTTAACCTGCAGATGTTCATTTCTATGCCGGTATTCTTCTTCTAAGTCCTTCAGTTGAGATTCAAGTCTTTTGCTGGATGCTTTCTCTTCATTAAGCTCCCCAAGTGTCTGATCTCTGCTGTCAGAGAGTTTCTTAAGATCTTCTTGAAGCTTAGAAACCAATTTACCCTCACTCTCTATATGGTTAGCATATCTAGTTTTCTCATCTTCCAATTGCTCCTTTAAGATTTTAATTGCATCTTCCATTGAAAATAAGTTTTCTTTAAGCTGAGCGTTTTCTTTAGTTGTGGACTCCATTCCGGAAATTTTCTGCTCATAAACTTTAAGCCGACTTTCTTGTTCAATAAGTTGCGACTTTAGAGACTCAACCATTTTAGCATGTGCTTTACCTTGTGTGTCATTCTCAGAGTCTAGGTTCTGGCATTTGGCAATCAAGTCTAAAATCGTTGCATCTAATTCTTGGAGTTTTAGAGACAATTCTGCCTTCTCTCGTTTTAGCTCTTCCACTGCTGCTAAACTGGTTTGATTGGTTTCCTCCAAATGATGGAGCCTATTATTTAAGATGCCTAGTTCCTCCTCTTTAGCCAGCTTGTACTCATTGAAAATTGTGAGAGTAGAGTCTCTTTCTTGTACAAATTCTTTGCACTCTTGTTTTAAATGTGCAACATTCTGGGTTTCACATTCAAGTTTTTGAGTAAGGTCTACCATTTTGTCCTCAGATTGTCTCACTACAGTGCTAAGCTGGTCTACTTGGTGGTTGAGGACTTCAATATTTTGTTTTGAGATCTCCTCCTGCTTCTTGATTGTTTCTACCAGTTGGCCGTTCTGTTTTCTCTCCTCTCCTAGCTCATGGTGGAGACCCTGGAGCTCCTTGTCTTTTTGCATTATGGAGGTTGACATCTTTGAGATTTCCAGTTTCAATGTGGTGATCTGACACGTTAGCTTTTCCTCCTGCGCTTTTGCCTCTTGATTTTGCCTCTCATTCTGGAATGTGATCTCAGAGAGAGATGTTTGCAGGTTGGTGACAATATCTTGGAGCTGCATCTTCTCAGATTCAAGTCGGGATCTCTGCATTTCCAGTTCCCCTATTGCTTCAATCTTCTCCTTTTCCAAATGTGTAATATGACTTTTAAGAGCCGTGCATTTTGAAGTAAGAGCTACGACTTCCTGGTGCAGACTTTCCAACTAAAAATAAATAAATAAAATAGCTGAAACAAAACATGGATTTTTTTACTCTGCCACAAACCCCTCCCCCCCCAAAAAAAACACAAAAACAAACTAAAAACTAGGCAAGCTAATCACCTCCCATAATATCTTTATATTTAGAGCAGTGCATTCATTAATATAATATGCAACTAACAAACGATGAAAGGTTACAGGGCAGGTTGAATTTGGAGACCATGTGATGGAGTTCTGTAAAGTTGCCCACCTATCCAGGGCTACCGGCAGGATATTAGTACAAGGAATCTGGTGGGAGGATTTACTGCATCTCTCAGAAACCACGCAACACTATCCTATCCACGCTCAGTCTTTCAGCAAGAAATGGATGAATACGATACCTTCAGGACGTCTCCCAGGCTCTCCCCTTTATCTTGGGATCCACTCTCCCCCAATTTCTTCAACTGATCCTCAAGAATGGAGACCTTTCCTTGGAGAATTAATTGTTGTTCCTCCAGGCATTTCTAAGGGAAGAGATCCAAAGGTAAAAGTCAACCTAACAGAAGAAACATACAAGTTTCCAGATAAAGAATGCAGGTAGAAGGACTATGGCTCCAATTCACCCCCCTCACACAACATCTGCTTACAGCAACGTCAAGAGATGCTGATTCAGCTGATCGATCGGTGGTCCCCTGCAGAACCTACGGTTACCTTTTGGCTGATAGCTGCGTTAAGCTCAGTCTCTAGCTGACTCTGCCTCTGTTGCCATCCTGCCAGTGACGTATCGTGCTCTTCAGTTGTCTCATTCAAGGCATCTTGTAACTGTGCCAGGCGGCTGGCCAGGTCCCGCACCTGAGCAATAAAAGACATTATGTAGGTTTATTACAAGACTGAGAAACATTAACACACAGCAGTTATTAAACACATCTGGTATGCATGTATGAGGGAGATAGATCTGGCATGTATGATTGCCAATAGAGAGAGGGCAGGAGGGAGATAGATCTGGGTGAGAAATGCATTTTAAATGAATATGAAAATAGGGTCACTATTATACAAGACTCATAACATTGTTTCACAAAATCGGAGGAAATTCTAAAGTGAATCATTTAGAGAAACACAACAGAACCACTGAAAAAGTAAAATGTGATATCATGGCAGGATATGGGATAGATAAAAGCAATGTAGGAGCAGGCATGCCTGGTGAAAACGCTCTGGACGCACAATAAGCAGAGTACCTTAAATGCGAGGTCCCCGTTCTCCTCTGCCAGTTGATCATTCTTGCGTTCCAGCTGGTTTTTATCGGTTTTCAAGTCCTGACACTGTTTGAGGGTGTCACGAAGCCGTATCATCAGACTACAGAAAATAAAAGGGTGGGGAAGAGTAAGGGTCTAAATAAATGAACTAATGAAATGCTGCCTAAGTGTGCGGCTGCTGAGCAAGCCATCTTATGGAAATTTAAGAGAGCACTAGGTGTATCAAACATAGAAGGTCTGTCAACTCACAGCTGAAATCTGAGAAGACTCCTAGCAGTACACATCTAAGAACAGCATGGGAAAAAGATAGAACGTGCAGTTCTTTTGCAATTTGCACCACAATCACAGGCAGCAAAGAAAACAACTAACAATATATCTGCAGTAGGGATCAACCGATATTATCGGTCTGGCCGATATTCTTTATTTTCAGCAATATTGGTATCGGCCAAGCACACTCTTACTTACCTTCCCCTGTGTAAATCTCTGGAGTCCAGCGGTCGATTTGTGTAGAAATAGTTTATTTTTTCAAAATGGTAAATGTAAAAATATCGGTACGTTATCGGCTCTATAAAATCAATATCAGTCGATCCCTAATCTGCAGATCAATTGCCAGAGTCCCTGGTAAAAGACAAGTCTTGTGGGTTGGTCAGCTTCCCATATCCCTGGTACTAATAAAAAAAATAAAAAAATTAAAAAAAACACTTTTTTTTTTTTTAAAAGCGTGAAACCATTTTCCCAGGTAAAATGGATAGAGCTCTCTTGGACTGCTCACATTTTCAATGTGCCACTCAACACCCATCAGTTACCTTTCATTTTTCTCCCTCAGTTCAACCAGCTCTCGAGGTTCATGAGGCTCTGTCTGTTTCTCACTCAGCACCAAGAGACGGTCAATGCGCTGCTGCATTAGAAATAGCTGGGCCTCTAATAATGGGATAAAACCAGAAACCATGTAAATCAAAAAAGACAGCATTTTGTGATATGCAACTGCATAAATGATATGCCAGTCACCTCGCCAGCACAACTGACAATTGCGAGGTTAGGAGAACATTCACATGAAGGACAAATGGAGGACCTGGAGATTACATTTAAAAAGTGGGTAAAACAGATGGTGAAAGGAAAAGGGAAAAAAGAACTGAGAACGGACAAATAGATGGAAGTTGAATGGAGAAGGGAATGTGCAAAAGAAAACTAATTTGTAGGTGATAGAATGAAGAGGGAATTAAGGATTTGGTAGAATGAGAATGGGGAAAAGACTAAGAGGAGGAATAGGAGATGTTAGGCGAAGAGGAAGAAATGACATTGGATATAAAACCACCACCAGCCCCATATCTGTGTCACAGCGAGCAGAATAAAATCATCCTGAAATATGGAACCACTATCCCTTCAGAAGGCACCCTCAGTGCACTGCTCATTAGATGTAATCACCAGGAGGAGGGGAGATGGCGTAACACTTGTTGGACTCCCATCCCTGCACGCACCTTTCTCTGCCAGGCGTTTCTTGTTCTCCGACAGCTCCAGCTCCAATTCATCCCTGAACTCCTGCTCCTCAGTCAGCTGCTTCTTCAAACGTCTCATCTGGAATTGAGGCATGTGCAGAACCTCAATCATTGGGGAGGATGGTGAGTCTGTTAAACTGCAAAATATACAAAGTGACACAGGTACAAAAGACTATTCTACAGGTTTCCAATAGACTCATGTAGCTCACCTTGAGCCAGCATTATATTTCTGGTCACTACAGTTCTTTTTAAAGCTCCAACAAGTAATTCAGGAGAGAAAAAAAAAAAAAGTAAAAAACCCCCAAGATGAAGTAAGCCCTCAACAAAGGCCACCAAGGGAGTATGTTAGAAAGAACTGAACGTGACTCACATACGTTAAGTAAGCCACCACATAGACTCTAGACATACATGGTCTGATTTTGGCCATTGTACCTTTTCATGGCAGAGGAAGATGCCACACGATGCAACTCGAGAAAGCGCACCTCGGTTTTCCTCTTTATAAGCACGTTGGGAGACACTGAATCATCCGAGCTGGAGGCGCCATCACTGGAGGACGGAAACCGTGCTGCCCAAACCGAATAGAACATAAGAAGTTATTGCCGGTCCTTTCATACTGCCCACCCCAGAAATTATTGATTTTGCAGTGTGGTCTCTTACCCCCAAGGGAGGGCACCCTTTGGCACTCCAGAATTTGTGGACTACATCGCCCCTGAATATTTGCCAACATTATGGATGCAAGAGCATTAAGATTTAGTAAACAACACCTGGAGTGTCAAAAGGCTGTCCTAGTATATTATTGGATTCAGCGATGTAGTGCCACCTCCACCCCCAACGTACCTTTCTTCTGCAGGAAGTGCAAGAGCTTGTCATTTAGAGATAGATCATCTTCATTTTCCAGAACGAACCTCAGGATGGAAGCAAGCTCAGTCTGCCGGGAAAGTAACCAGGATCACAAAGGTCAGGGATGGCCAATAATGTTACTACCATAAAAAAAATTGTGTTTTTTTTTTTGTTTGTTTTTTAATGTTGGCTGAGCACAAAGAGATTGTAGCTCACAAGTGCCAGGAATCACAGATCTTTATAAATTTTTCAGTCATGTGGTACTAAACCCGCCTTCTAAAACTATTCACAGAGGTCGTGGTTCTTCCTTCCTCAGACGTATCCTGCACTGGAATCACCCCTGCCCAGACACCAAAACACCCACTGCCCAGACACCAACCTGGCACCGAAGCACCCACTGCCCAAACACCAACCTGGCACCGAAGCACCCACTGCCCTAACACCAACCTGGCACCGAAGCACCCACTGCCCTAACACCAACCTGGCACCGAAGCACCCACTGCCCTAACACCAACCTGGCAACGAAGCACCCACTGCCCTAACACCAACCTGGCAACGAAGCACCCACTGCCCTAACACTAACCTGGCACGGAAGCACCCACTGCCCTAACACTAACCTGGCACGGAAGCACCCACTGCCCGAACACTAACCTGGCACAGAAGCACCCACTGCCCTAACACTAACCTGGCACAGAAGCACCCACTGCCCTAACACTAACCTGGCACAGAAGCACCCACTGCCCTAACACTAACCTGGCACGGAAGCACCCGCTGCCCTAACACTAACCTGGCACCAAAGCACCCACTGCCCTAACACTAACCTGGCACGGAAGCACCCACTGCCCTAACACTAACCTGGCACCAAAGCACCCAATGCCCTAACACTAACCTGGCACCAAAGCACCCAATGCCCTAACACTAACCTGGCACCTAAACAACAACCGCCCAACGACTAGTCCTGCAATGGGTAACAACCTCCTCCTACAGCCCAAAGGTTAACATGGCACTGAGTAATGACCCCCTCAACATTCACCAAACACTAACCTGGCCCAAACAACTCTTTGCAAAAGCCCATCAAGCAATGGAGATTGGATTACCTGAGTCTTGAGATCAAAATCCTCACATTCTTTGGGATTCTTGGTTTTCATGTTTGAATAATAGAAAAGGAGAACAATAACCTATAAATAAAAGACAAAAAACAAAAAAATCACATTTTCATGATATACAATACACACTAAATATAAAGGGGCCAAGGGCCATAATCACTACATATTCCTCATGTCATCGTCCCTCCTCACTTTGTTACCTTCATACTGACCCCCTTTGGCTTATTTGTTAATCTTTTTTTCCATTTTAATGAGGCATTGGGATAGCAAGCAACAATAAAACAAGCAAGTGGAAAGAAAAACGTGTTTAACGTCAATTAAAACTTACCAACACAACGCAAAAAAAAAAAGGGGTGGGGGTGGGGGGGAGACTGAAAATATTTCACATCCACATCATTAAGGAGGAGTGTGGTGGGTGACACCGTTACCCGGATCGATGTCCGAGGAGTACCATGAGTAGGACCTGCCAAGAACGGGGTACATTGACGTTGTGGCAGGCTTATGCAATATATGGATCATATAATGTTACTAAACCCATATTTTTTGCCTAGGTGAGGTGTTTTTAAATAAACCTATTATTAATCTGAGAGATTAGAAATCATTGTTTAGTGAATAAGCGAGCGCACTGTATTCTGTATCTTTTGGCCCCAGCAGCACCCTATACAGTATGCATGTTCAGGTGAGTGCAGCCCTCTTGGTTTCTTTTATATATTTGAGAGTCCCAGGCCAACTCCTTGGTTTTGCACCCCTCCCTCTCACAGGTGCCTCATTACAAGACCCTATTTAGCCTTGACTTGCAGAGAGTCCCAGTAAGGAAGTATTTCCCAAGTAAGTGGGTTAATCTCATATGAGCAAGCATTAAGCTGCTACTAGGATAGGACCTCCCGAATATGGGGTACATTGAAATTGTGGCTGGCCTATGCAATGTATGACCATATACTGTAACTAAACCCCATTATTTTTTTCCCTAGGTGAGGTGTTTTTAAATAAAACTATTAGAATCTGAGATTATAAATCATTGTTTTGTGAATTTTGTATGAGGAGTAGCATGAGTGACACCGTATACAGAGAATGTTTATTTACGAGGCCACTCAACGTGCCTATACCTTGGACAGCTCCACTTCCAAATTCTCTCCTTGCAGAATCTTCTGCCACTGCACCAGATTCTCAGCAGACGAGCCATACCGGCAGTATCCTGCAGAGGGAATGAGAGCAACACTGCCACATAAGTACTACTCCAACAGCATGCAGTGACCAACACATGGATACTATACCCAGGTTACAGGCATGTACTGCATACCATATAGGAAAGTAAAAAAGTCCTAGCTCGGATAAGTCCCTGTTTGGACAAAGTCGAGAAGTGTGGCACTGAAGTCCAGTGGAGGTCTCTGAAGCCAGGGAGTTGTGATTCTTGCAAATAAGAGGTGAGAAAAGATAATGGTGCATTACGTTCTTCAAAGTGCCAATATAAATAAAGTGATAAAATTCCTACTCACATTCAGTTGAGCTTAAGCCAGCTCTGGTTTGTATAGCATACAGCGGTATGATCCCTGCTTATGGGATATGTGGTGAGTGTCCTCTTGTATATAGTAGTATCAAGGACCCAGGCAAGGGGTGATTAAAAAAACAAACAAAAAAAAACATGGAAACAATAATGGTGGTGTATGTTCTACAGTGAAAAAAAATCACATTTAAATCCTATATGGCGAAGCGCATTTGGATGTATTTTACGGCTTCTTGAAATTATTATTAAATAGATTTTGGTCTTTCTACACTTGTACCATCATCTTTTAACTATTTATATTTTAAGAACGACCTGGAACCAACTACTTTCTTTCCATACTCCAAAGAATCCCAGGTGGGGATCATACCACCTATGCTGTTGTCAGAGCAGTCAGCTTGCTCTATCCTTTGTGAGTATATTTTATAGATTATAAATATTTTATTGAGAGCACTATTGCTGTTTTTATTGTCTTCCTTCCGGGCTCCTAACACTACCATCTTTAAGAACACTCGTCATATATACCATAGGTGGGGATTGTACTGCTGTACGCTTATCACACCAGAGCTGGCTTAAGCTCTACTAAATGTGAGTGTTACTACCATATTTTATTTTTATTTTATTTTATTCTTTCCTCTGTGGAACATACCATTAATGTTTCAATTTTTTTCTTCTAATACTACTATATACAAGAGGACCCTCACCACATATCCCATAAGCAGGGATCTTACTGCTGTATGCTATACAAACCAGAGCTGGCTTAAGCTCTACTGAATAGGAGTAGGAATTTTATCACTTTATTTATATTGACACTTTGAGGAGCGTACTGCAACACAATAAATAAAAAGTGCAAGAATCACAACTCCCTGGCTTTGGAGACCTCCACTGGACTTCAGTTCCACACTTCTGGACTTTGTCCTTACAGGGACTTATCCGAGCTAGGACTTTACTTTCCTATATTGTGGCGCAGCCCCATCTTTTGTCGTTTGTCATCTCTATGATCTTCAAGGGCATCTGAGTGAGTCCTTGTTTGGGATTGCTGCCTTTTTCTCTTAGGATTTATTAGCGCTGACTCTTGTTTTTCCTATATACTGCATACAGGAAGTGAAATAACGGTCTTTGGTAGGGTAAGGAATGATGTGTTAGGAGCAGAAATTAATACAAGCATTAGAAAAAGGGTCCAGGCACTCCAATTTCTTCAGGCACTTTTATTAAAACATGTGCAACACTGACAAAGACTACATTGGAAGTCGCCATGTTGCAGTTTCCCACCTGTTCTAATAAAAAGGTGCCTGGACCATTTTTCTAATACTGGTATTTAATATCTTCTGGGCTTGTGCTGGCCCATGGTTCAGCTACGCATCCTATCTTAAGTGAATTGAGTGCGGTTCCTTTTCCAATTAAGGGCATAAATGGTGACATTCCACTCCAATAACCTAAATAATGGTTAAGAGGATTGGTCGTCTTCCTGGTTCATGAGGCAATACAGTTTTGATCGGGTCTAGTGTGTGCAGTTCTTGCTGTGAATTTGGGGGAGCACTCTGTCCATTCCTTTTACATCCTCACAATAGTGGGGTAAACCTGCATTACTAGTGTGCCTTTCGAATGCAACTTCTGGTAAGGCAGGCTTTGGAAACTGCAAACCATAAGGTAAAAGAAAATATCTATCACACACCAGCTAGATCTGTTTACCGATCACACACACATAATCTCTGTTTTACCTGTGAAGGCACTTTAAATAAAGCCTACACCCCACCTCCACCCCAAGTCTGAAACGGACATTCCACTCCAATAAAGTCTGCAATTTTGGATGTGTCCTGTGTGCTCCCCTGAAAGATCTTACTTTGTAAAAAGCTGCGGAGGTATTTCAGTCTGTCTTCCAGGGATTGTTGAAGGATCTGTGTTAATTCATTTGTGTTCCCATTACTAGAAGACAGAACAAGACTGATCATTCAGCTTTGAGAATCAATGTAATAACAGGTTACAAACCCTCTAGCACAGTTACCCCGCACCCACAAACCCCGTGCCCGCAAACCTTACAAATACACATAGGGTAAGGGATCTCCATTACACCATTTACAGTAGGGAAGTTAAATTGTAGCCCAAGTCTCTTGCCAGGCTGTGGCAGGTAGAGAATGAAAATGTAACCCAACAGACCGCTGCAAACACAGTAAGTTGCTCTGAAAACAAACTGTAAAAGCTAGAATCAAGGATTATTTTAATAAACAGGCAGGTTTTTATTACCAGTACTCTTCCTTGTGCTGGGGTTCTATCCCGACTAGTACATAAAAAACCTGCATTAAGAATGCATGTATACCAATAGTCTTTGAAGGGACACCTTACACATGGTTCCAGTTCATCTACAGTACACCAACCTTGGCTTTATTAAAGTAACTGCTCTATAGAGATTGCAGAGCTGGACTTAGCCAGAGGTAGAACATCCACGAACACACAAACCAATGTGTTTCTGTATAGATCAATAAATATATTTAGTAACAAGGATCCATTTGTGTGTTACATGGTCTGCGCACAGGTAGTATATGATAATCTGACTGCCAATTACTGAGGGTTTGCGCTGGCAAAGTGCCATACTGCATGAAGGCTGATCACAGCAATTTCACCCTGACTGTAGATCAGAGGTCAGATCATGTGATAAACTTACCTCTGATGTACAGACAACCTGAAGTCTTAATTATTATAAACAAGTCACATGTCTTAAATCTTAAAAAATACCATTCAGAATGTAGATGAAGTTGAGGATTTTTACCTCTTTCTAAGGTTTCTGTATTTCCCTGGTAAATCTAGCGGTCTGCTACAGAAAAGACACACAGTGTTATTCCCTATAATTAATGGCAATTTCATCATATTAAGGGAAGGGAAGCCTTACAGAATATAAGAGTATATTAAAAGATGAGGATTGTTGGGGTAAAAAAAAAAAAAAAAAAATTATACGACCATGTACTCCAAGTACAGTAAGGTTCGGGATCTGCCCACAGACACACACAGGAAGGAAAGGGCACCGCTATATAATGAAAATGTACTTATAGTAGGGAACTAAAACCACATCTGGAAATTGGGGCACACATGGAAATTGGCAGCACTCTGGCCCAAAACGAAAAGTCAAAAAGGGTTTTTCAGCAGCGCACATGGACGACTGAAGATGCTTAGGTTAAGTAAATATGGGGGGGCTTTATTCCTATGCTGCAAATTATGAAAAGGTAAGTGAGGGGCTAGTTTGCTAGAAGGTGTTCTATACATTCTCCATTCAGTGACAGAGCATTTGTAATGTTTTAAATGCTAAACGTGAGTTTCCGGCTCATCCCACTGTGCTGCTGGGGCAAGCAGTAAGCGTTATCCGAAGCAGCAATGGGCAGCTGTGATTGGCTGAGAGTGTCAACCCATCACAGTGCCACTGTAGGTATGAATTGATATGCTCAGAAGACAATATATAATCTCTAGTAAATTAGGTGGACAGCGCTAAGAATTATTATAATAAAATCATACATACACAGGTAGCAGCAGATTTCGCAATTATGTATCTTACTCTTAAAAAAAGGGAAAAAAGTGCAGTATGTTATGAATAATATGGTGATAAAGATCTATTCCAAAGGGGCACTCACGTTTTCCAGAGCTTAAAAAAAGCTCTATTTTAGGAGCCTGGACGGAACAATCCCCGTCTAAGGATTTCTTTTTGCTGGTATCAGATTCCCAAGGTAGTGCGGTTCATCATACGAAAAAAATAAGGATGTATACCAATGGTACAGTACGTATGTAAAAGTAGGAAAAGTAAATAATATTTGACCTACTTACATTTGCTAGAGCAATGACCTGCTCTAGTGTATGGAGCTATAGGTGGAACAATCCACACCTAGGGATATATGTAGATCCGGAACAGCAGAGTGATGGTGAGAAAAAAAGAACTATAAATAAAACCAGTCCTTGTAGGCAATCCTTAACCTCCACTTATTTACAGTTCTTTTTACTATATAGTTCACTTTTAAATAGTTTTATTCATTCTGTGTTTTAATGAAGATTCTGTTTTAACACCCAGTAACTCTTGAGCTCCTTATACTCTCACCATCACTCTGCTGTTCCGGATCTACATATATCCCTAGGTGGATTTGCTCTAGCAAATGTAAGTAGGTCATATATTATTTACTTTTCCTACTTTTACATACATACTGTACCATTGGTATACATCCTTTTTTTTTTCTATATGATGAACCGCACTACATTGGGAATCTGATACCAGCAAAAAAATCCTTAGACGGGGATTGTTCCGTCCAGGCTCCTAAAAGAGCTTTTTAAGCTCTGGAAAACGTGAGTGCCCATTGGAATATATCTTTATCACCATATTATTCATACCATACTGCACTTTTATTTCCTTTTGGTAATTGCGAAACCTGCTGCTACCTGTGTATGTATGATTTTATTATAATAATTCTAAGCGCTGTCCACCTAATTTACTAGCTTGTTTTGTTCTATTGTTCACAAGGTAAAAGGAACTCCTTGTTGGTGAATAGCTGCTTTATTGGATAGAGAGCACTTATCACTTTTATATAATTTGTTTAACCCCTTAAGGACCCATGACATGTGTGACATGTCATGATTCCCTTTTATTCCAGAAGTTTGGTCCTTAAGGGGTTAAGCCAAGCAGAGTGTCAGAGTGACCCACACTCAGTGATAAACCATTTTCAAACAGTTTAACACTGAAAGGGGACCCCAAGGCATAAGTAATTCAATGAGATGAAGTGGTTAGCGTGCACACAGTATCCCTTTAAAGAGATCAGCAGTGATAAATAATATACCAAGCACTTCCATGCCAGTCACTCACTGGAACAGCAGCAAGGATTCTGACACCATCTGGGAAATAGAGACCAGCAAGCCCATCTAACAGAAACACTAACTGATTGGACACTAAGCAGCAGCATCCGTGAGCTGAAAACTTCAAGGATGTTTACATGCAGAGCTAAACTCGCTAAACTACTTCTCTACAGAGACCTTTAAACTCCATCTGAAACAATGTCTCCAAGAGGGGCCTGCATTCTAAACTGTGCCAGCATCGGATTTACTCCTGTCTCATAGGATTCCAGGTAACGTACAGATATGGGGGAGGGGGATTATAGTTACATTAACAAGATCTTGACATTGAAACGGTTAGTTATAGCAACAAGGGCTATCAGTCTAGAGTTTGGTGACAGGTAAAACTTTTCAAATTGGTATAGTGACCGAAACCCTGCACTATATTTGCAGAATAATAAAAAGGAGCATGCTGACTCGGGAAGGGGAGAAACACAAAGTAAACTTCAAAGGTTTTCACTCATGGTCAAACATTACAAAACAGGTAAAACTGAAAACAGAGAATGGGTTAGCAGTCATTTCATTTATATCCCAGTACACTGCGATCCTTGCTGTCCACAACCAAGGCAACCAGAGGTTCTAAATTCTCTCACCCTCCTTTCTACAATATGTACCTCCCAGCAGGGCTCCACTACTAGCTCACAGGATGCCCAGGAGGTCCTTCTCCATCTCATGGAAACCTCTCTGGGCCAAGTTATACCACAACACCTAGCACCCATGCTTCCCACTTCCATCTACTCTGAATAACACTGAATTATATATACGTCCATGCTATGCTACCCCTCCTTTCTCACATGGTGTATCCATAGTATCCCATCAATCTGTATTATACCACCTCCATGATCACTCCCTTGTTGCAGTATCACCGGGTTAATTACTCACAGTTTGGTGGCAATTTTAATCAAAATGCTCAAATCTTGTAGCTGAGATAATCGTTCAATGGGTTCGTCGACCTTGAGGCTGTTCACCTAGAGAGACACAAGATTGGCATTACTAAATAAAAAGTGTTTGTTAATCAGACTGACATCTAAACAGAAATTAAAACAGAGCGGCTTTGGAAACTGCAAACCATAGGTAAAAGAAAATATCTATCACACACCAGCTAGATCTGTTTACCGAACACACACCAACATCTGTTTACCGATCACACACACACCACTCCCCACATCCACCACACACCAGCTAGATCTGTTTACCGAACACACACACACACACACACACACACCACTCCCCACATCCACCACACAGCAGCTAGATCTGTTTACCGAACACACACACACACACACACACACACCACTCCCCACATCCACCACACACCAGCTAGATCTGTTTACCAATCACACCCCCCCCCCCCCCACATCCACCACACACCAGCTAGATCTGTTTATCAATCACACACACACACACCACTCCCCACATCCACAACACACCAGCTAGATCTTTTTACCCATCAGACACCAGCTACGGAGCACTAACAAGCACACAGCTCAATAATTAGGGTCATATTGCTTCAAATTGACAAACTCAAACTCATGCAGGCAAGCCCCCTCGCTCTATAAACCAAGTAGTCCAGTGTCGTACAAAAGATTAGAATGATTTGTAAACACAATTGAGCTCCGGGCAGGACGTATCATACACAAGTCTAATTTACAGACAATTTGGTCACCTGATGCTTTTATAGAGAGAGACATGGAAAGAATTCTCACCCATCTTAAAAACCCCAAGGTTTTTCTTAAGCTAAGCGATATTTGTAAACACTTTACATTACTGTTCCAAGTGTGATGATTATTAGATTATTTATATAGCGCCAGCAAATTCCATAGCACTGTACACGGATATATCCTTCCATGCTGTGCTGCACAGATCAGTCTCAGTGGGATGTTATACGATTTTCCCAGCTTCCACAGTGCTCTGATTGCAGACACCCGGCTTATTTGATTGTTGCCTGGTATCTGTGAGGTGGCGAACAATGTCACTTACCCAAGAGAGGAGCGCATCCGTTGTGCTGCTGTGCAGTGCCATTTCTGGGGATTCTCCCGCTATTCAGTCACCATATATCCTACAAGGGTTAAAGATACAATTCGGGTTACAGGGTGCATGTATATCATGAACAAATTATACAAATATATAGAGCAAACTATGGTGTGTGTGTGACACGGTGTCCCTATTAAAGCAGGAGAGAGACTGCTATGTACAGTAACAGTGAGCAGAAGGTCAGTAAGTTGGGTGCACGGTGTAGGTTAGGTTACAGTTAGTTATACTGGGTGGGTTTATATTATTACAGGGCACTCCAGGATCCCACACACACATTAGATGCACTGTGTAGGTTAGGTTACAGTTAGTTATACTGGGTGGGTTTATATTATTAAAGGAACACTCCAGGCTCCCTCACACGTTAGATGCACTGTGTAGGATAGGTTACAGTTAGTTATACTGGGTGGGTTTATATTATTAAAGGGACACTCCAGGCTCCCACACACGATAGGTGCACTGTGTAGGTTAGGTTACAGTTAGGTATACTGGGTCAGTCCTTACACTAGTTTCCTGTAAAATTTAGGGCTTGATTCTGCCAAAGATTTGCATATATTCTCTGTTCAATTATACTACATTCCCTTCTCCATTAGACTCTCACCCAGTCTTAGTTCCTTCAAAAGATCATTAAAAGCTCACTTCTTTAGGCAAGAATATCAGTTAACCTGTTAATAGTTTTCCCTCCCCACAGCTTGGTAAAACCAGGTCTCTGTCCAGCATATTACAGCTCGGGGATAGGTGCTTGAAATGCCCTTATAATTAACTTTGCTTCCCAGGGCCACCCAAACTGCCCTTACTTTAAAACCTGCAGGATCTGATTAAGAGGAGGTGATCGTTCTGGGAATGTCAAGATCTGCTTTAACACGCATGCACAAAGTTTGGCAACTTTTAAAAGGGAAACTACCCCATAGCTGTACAGAACATGTGCCCACTGAATTATTTCTTATACATTACGCCTGCCCTAAATACAGTGCATGAAAACCATTCAAAAGCAGTTTAACAGCACGTGTGATCAGAGAGCAGATTGAGGTATACCATCCATGATGCAAGCACAGAAGCTCCTTGACAGAAGTTTAAATGGCCATATTTCTGTGAATATGACATCAAGCATGCTGATATAAGCCATTGTCACCCCCCCTCCCCCCCTTAAATGTTTAACATTTTCTTGTCACACTGGTTACACCCTGCAATGAGTATGCTTTGCCCATGTATACAGGTGGCACCGTACTAAACATCACAGGTCAATCCTGAGATGTATTGTAAGAGGGTGAAAATGGATTACTAAAAACAGATTTTATTGGCCACCAAAGTCTGTTTGGCGAGAAAAATAGAGATCTGAGGTGATCCCTAAGTGGACTGAAATAGCCTCACAGATTAACGATCAGATCCATGGAGAAGCTGTATAATGTTAGTCTTGAGAACTTGGGGTTATATAATGACATATGGAGGCTCTGGTTACAGACTATCCTGAGACTCCTTCCAACCAACGCCTCCACTCTCACGCCAGGACAGGTATGAATAGAGTGATTTTCCACGTCAACTTATTTGTAATAGATATACTTAATAGAATTACACTTTATCATTTTATTAGATTTAAATTAAGTTTTGGATAATGGAAAGGGAAAGAAAACAGAGGAAGAGGGGGAAAAAGGGGGGGCGGGGGGGGGAAGGGAAGTAGGGAGTGAAAAAAAGAACAAAGATCTCAGCAAATAAAAAACAGTCATTTTAACTTTCCTACCCTTTTGGTCAATTCCTTTCAGCATCATAAATATTTGAATCACTTATTTTATCACTGAGGAATTGACAATGATAAACAAGAATAAAAAAATAAAAAAAAGTGACTAGCTCATAATTTCTAAATCTGAGTAATTTAAAAAAATAAAAACAGATTTTAACAGTCATTGGCAAGCTCATAGCCAGGACAAGTTGTCAAATGCCCATATTCATCTCCTGTATTTAATTTCCAGAGTGATAATACACGAACGCTGGAGAGCAGGTGAACTGGGGGTCCAACGCTATGATGCCAGGGTGCACCGAGTCTTGCTGCTGCTGGATCGATACTGGATATGTGATGTCAGAATATATGCAGGATAACCACTGGACATCGCTTGCAGGCTGCGGTGACATCCCTTCAAGCCGTGTATTTTCACTGCACTCAGAGACGTCATGAATAAAAGTTAATCAGCTGGTTACAGTTGGTCCCGACAAAGTGATCTGTCCATGCAACGGTATTCAAGCCTGAATTATTGAAGTATCTGCTCCCCACATGGTACAGCAGAATGGATGAAAGGTCAGTAGAACACATTTGCAGTTTCCAATCCTTTAAAATAGGAACACCGAAATCCCTTTAGAACGCGGAGGTCATGTGAGGCTTCTAATGTACATTGTGTCAGCAGATCATTAGTGAACCCTCGATACAATGAAGATCTGTTTCACCCTGTCCAGCGGATGTTGAAGGATAAGCGGTTCGACAGTGAGGACAGGGCCTCCAGTATATCATTTATAAGCTTACTGAATAGTTTCAATGGTTTTTAACTAGTGTGAGATAATAATAATGCTTCCCGATATATGAGGGAGATTGTTAAAGGAATAGAGGACGTTTATATCACGCAAATTGGGGGGGATGGGTCTAAATGGTTTTATTTTTCCTGACGATTTTCACAGAAATATTGATTTCAGAAAAGGCCTCCAAACTTAGAACGGAGGAGAAAAGTGAAACCGAACACTTTTATGATGCAAGAAGTAACGGAAAGATTAGGGGAACACTATAGCCACCAGAACCACTACAGCTCTGCACCGAGACGCTGAATGCTTCCCATAGAAAAAGGAAGATGCAGATTAGCGCAGAGCGAGGTTTTGCTGTACATGCTCCCAATGTTTTTCTATGGGGATAATTTCCAATCATTGATATTGGTGGGAGCATCTGCAACAAGGCCAATGCAGCAATGAACACAAAGTAAGCTACCTTTTAACTCCATTCTGTTCGGTTTCTTTAGTGTTCCTTTAATGGCAAAACTGCAACACTTTCCACATCTTACTGCTCCCGAAACTCATGATAAATGAGCTCAGGCGCCTCGTGGCGCTCAGAGAGGGCAGCCTTTTAAGAAGCCTTATAAAATGTAAAACTATTTTTGCGTGTGCGCAGTTCTTTAATCTGTGTTAAGCATAAACAGCAGCACCATTCCTGCATGTTCCAGGTGTGCCCCCAATTCCCTTTTTGTCTTTAGCAATTCAGTCTTTACATTTCCATAGTGCATTGATGGTGAACTCCCCACATTGATTGACAGCTAATTCTGGATAATGTAGGGGTGAATGTATAGTGTGTTGGGCAGATGTAGAGGTAAAGGCTTAACAGGAAGATCAGCAATAGGACACTGGCATCCTGTGCGGACAGATTAACGGGAGTTGCATTCCTTAGCAGTACCTACTCTTACTCAGGAAACCAGTGGTGCCAGTAATGTAGGCCAAATGCAAACCCAGAGCTTTCACATCGTACTCCGTCCTTCATTCCATGTGCTACAGACTACAATGCTCATGATGCACAGGCAGGCAGATATATCCATTATCAGCGTTTGATAAAGGTTTGAGAATTGACAGTCTAAAAGGCAGATATAAAAGGAGAATATGTCTCTAGTAATCATCAGTAGTGTACGTTACTCCCTTGACTGTAATAAGCTATTTTAATATTGTAGAATGCCAGCATCATCTCTGGGTGATGAGACTTTCAATGCAACGAGAGATGCCGCCATGTGGGGCAAAGAATTAAATAGATAAATCCCAGTCATCCCAAGTATGTAAAGGATCTATGCATATCAATACTCAATGAATTCCTAAAGAAAAAGTAATGCCATAGAGACAGATATTACTTAAAGAGGGGCCAAATGATAATCTTGCGTCCCTATAAAATGACTGTAGTGTGCAGACAGCACTAAGAATACGTGGCTAGCAATTCCAGACACCTTCCCTGTATTTAGCAAGGAATAGCTCTTTATATTGTTAGATTTCCGTCTTGTTTAAAGGTTCAAATATGGAAGCAGAGTTTAAGCCTGAAGGAGAGTTTTACAGATAGACTACACAAGCGGCTCACAGACCTGGAAGTGAAGACAGAGTAGCAAACACTTAAACCAGCAGGGGCCCCTGTCCCAAAACTAGCCCTACGAAGGAGGGAGGTCTCACTCAGAGTTACTCACAAATAAAATTACCTCAATACAAAGTCTGCTTCAAAATAAACTTACAAACACGAGGTCACAAACTTTGCAACTTATTTCTGGTGCATTTGCCAGCATTTCCACTGAGCCACGAGAGGCCGGACGGAGGTAGGAGAGAGCGAAGGTTAGTCTGCTCTGTGCCCCCCTTACAGCAGAGGGCTGCTTCCATGGCACTCCATACTGTGTTTGCATGCCAGTTCCCAGCATGCCTCAGGGCTGTGACAGCACAGTGATGTGGCTGTGATCAGCCAATGTAGGGTAGGTTGCGCTGCAAGCATTGGGACATTAACCTTCTAGACGCTCACTGCAGCCCGAGGAAGGCAAGGCTGTGTTTGGTCAAGGAGGGAGTATAGCAAACAGTCCAGGCACTCACAGCCGTCTATGGGAGGATTGGATTACACTTAACCCTTTCACCAAACATTCACTCACACAGGCCCCTTGGCTGCCACCTGGGGAGCACTGCAGACAAGACATAACAAGTACTCAATAGAGACAGTGCAAAATGTTAGCATTAAAGTGGGGTGTAGCAGAGTCTGTTCGCAGACAGAGCAAAGAAACCGGTTTTATTCAATAAATCAGATATATAACCTTTATAGAGCAGCATAGACTGGTCACAATACGCTGCATATTAGATCACCTTTCGCCATAAACAGGTAGTCCATAGTAAACACAAACATTTCTCGTTGATTAAGAATGCAGTCGGTACACAGAGTGCCAACATATGCCACAGTGCAGACTACAAAGAGTTGCATACATGCGTTCACATATTGTAGAGAAGAATTAAGAATCTAATTGTAGAATTATAATTATTTATATAGCGCCACATATTCAGCAGTGCAGTACATTAGATAAAGACATGTTTGACATACAGGACCTTGAGGTGAGGTGGGCCCTGCTGAAACAAGCTAGCACTCTAAAAGTAAAAATAGAGATGTGCCTGTTGGGTTAGTTAATGTATTATACCCCCCAAACAGTTCCTGCATTAATAAAGCTAGCCCCCCAGGCTCTCTTAGAACAGATCACCCCCCCATCCCAGGAACATTTACTGATTGCAGGATACAATGTGTAAAAATCAAGCCTTGCCTCTGACCTCCCAGGAGGCTGTCGCTCTTGTAACACTTTACAAGCTTGCACAACACAGCATTGCTCCAGCCTGGCACAGCTGTCAGATTACAGACATTCACACAGAAACCAACCACTAACAAACTGTAACATTAACCAGCCGGATACGTCTTACATGGAAGATATCCCACTAATCAAACTGTACCATTAACCTGCCAAGTACAGGTGATACTCAAAAATTAGAATATCGTGCAAAAGTTCATTTATTTCAGTAATGCAACGTAAAATCGGAAACTAATATACGAGACACACATTACATGCAAAGCAAGATAGTTCAAGCCATGATTTGTCATAAGTGCGATGATTATGGCTCCGTAACACTGCACCTTGTTACTGACACAGTCTGAGCACTCTATAATGTGTATAGTACCCAGTATTCTGCAACACTGGGTACTATACACATTATAGAGTGCTCAGACTGTGTCAGTAACCAAGCGCAGTGTTACGGAGCTGTGGGCTATTCTGCCACACTGGGTACTATACACATTATAGAGTGCTCAGACTGTGTCAGTAACCAGGTGCAGTGTTACAGAGCTGTGGGTTATTCTGCCACACTGGGTACTATACACATTATAGAGTGCTCAGACTGTGTCAGTAACCAGGTGCAGTGTTACGGAGCTGTGGGTTATTCTGCCACACTGGGTACTATACACATTATAGAGTGCTCAGACTGTGTCAGTAACCAGGTGCAGTGTTACAGAGCTGTGGGTTATTCTGCCACACTGGGTACTATACACATTATAGAGTGCTCAGACTGTGTCAGTAACCAGGTGCAGTGTTACGGAGCTGTGGGTTATTCTGCCACACTGGGTACTATACACATTATAGAGTGCTCAGACTGTGTCAGTAACCAGGTGCAGTGTTACGGAGCTGTGGGCTATTCTGCCACACTGGGTACTATACACATTATAGAGTGCTCAGACTGTGTCAGTAACCAGGTGCAGTGTTACAGAGCTGTGGGTTATTCTGCCACACTGGGTACTATACACATTATAGAGTGCTCAGACTGTGTCAGTAACCAGGTGCAGTGTTACAGAGCTGTGGGTTATTCTGCCACACTGGGTACTATACACATTATAGAGTGCTCAGACTGTGTCAGTAACCAAGCGCAGTGTTACGGAGCTGTGGGTTATTCTGCCACACTGGGTACTATACACATTATAGAGTGCTCAGACTGTGTCAGTAACCAGGTGCAGTGTTACGGAGCTGTGGGCTATTCTGCCACACTGGGTACTATACACATTATAGAGTGCTCAGACTGTGTCAGTAACCAGGTGCAGTGTTACAGAGCTGTGGGCTATTCTGCCACACTGGGTACTATACACATTATAGAGTAATACAAGATTAAAGGGGATCCAGAATCTAGGTGTTGTAAAATGTCAATCAAATATAAAGCTGCCACTCATACTAGGCACACCCCAAAGAAGCCCGCAAATAAAAAATATAAACAAAGAGAAAGGGGAGGGTACAAATCTCCCCTATTGAGGGCGCTAAATAATGATGACAAAAGAGACTTATAATAAAAAGTCCTAAATTTAAATGTTACAAATATAAAACACAAAAAAGCAGTGCAATTGTAAGACTAGTTTTGTTCACAAACACCAACCACTAGCTTGCAAGTACAGAAATACTTCACATAGCCCTAGGTCGCGACTCATAGGGCTTGAAAATACTTGCAGCTCTCAATATAGAGGTGGAGGTGGAAGGACTGTCTCTGAACTGCTGTCTTGAAATATCAGGCTCAACGCGTTTCGTCCCGCGCTTTTCGGGACTTCCTCAGGAGCTGCGGATGCTGATTCTTTCGCCGGCTTCCTCTCTTTAAATATTCAGCAATCTTCTGTCTTCGCGCCAAACTGACGTCATAGCGCATGCGCCCGCTGACAAATTTCCGTTCAACTACGGGTGCCCCAATGGACCAGTAGCTTTCGGGAAATTGTCGGTGCGCATTCAATTCAAGCACACTAAAACTTTATCGGCACTGAGTTCTGGACACTATATAACATTATATTAATTAGAAGTGACCAAAAAGCTCATCACAATTGTGCCTGCTTCTAACATAGTAATCAAATCCTAGGAATTTACCACAAATGTGTCAAATGTATAAATAAATTATATGAATTATAAAATCAATGTTAAGCAAAGCTATAAATACAAAGTGTGTTGAATGTGCATTAAATTTGTGGTAATCCTTACAATCTACATAAGAGAAGTGTCAGTAACCAGGTGCAGTGTTACATGATGAAAAGTTAATTTATACTTTCTGTAATGCTCCCTTAGGTTTGTGAGCCACAATGGGTTCGCTCTTCACATTTAAAAAAATATGTAAATAATAAATAAAAAAGGGCTCTATTGCTGCCAAGGGAAAACAAACATAATATCCATTAACTGGTCTGGGCCGCTGTAGGCACCATAACCACTACAGATCAATACAGTGGTTCTGGTGTCTCAACTGTCCCTCCAAGCTCAGCAATGAAAATTACAAGAAATTTATCTGGCCAAATTTAAAGATATGGACAAGCACTAAAAACAAAAACTAAAAAACACCACAACAGAACCCTTAAAATGAAGACTATTTTCTGTATTGATAGCAAGAAAACATTTCGACCCGTTATTATGCTCTCCTAGTACATAACTACTTAATACAGGCCAGGGCAACTAGGATCCAGACCCAGTATGCCATTATTAAAATGTAGGAAGGAGATTTAAACGTTTGGCTACTAACGCAATCAATATTCAGAACTCCGTGGTCTAACTTGTGTCACTCAAAATAGGTTCGTACTGAAACAAGAAGCCTTTGCAGATGGGAAATGCTGGAACTTTATCATGTTTTGTAAGACGAGAATCCCATTACAACTTGTGCAAAGAGACAGAACGACTAAAAAATTCCATTTAGGATCCCAATTTCTAAAGTAATACTCGAGAAAACTGTAGTGGTAATGGTGACAGACTGTCATAACATTTAAGTACTTATCGGTCCACTGTCCTTCAGGTCTGATAAATCATACCAAGCTGGGACATTGATCATAGGCTGCTATGCGTTCGTATGATTCCATGTTACCACAACAGAAGGACTGCAGGCACCCAATAGAAACAGTTTACCAACTGGCTACACTAATGGATGGTGTTTAGAGTAGAACACTTTAAACCAGGATCCACGGGATCAAGGGAACAGATGGGATGAGATTGCTGTTCAGACAGTCTTGGAGCCTACCGGCAGCAAAGTCTGTACTGTAGGTAGATTAACCCAGGGTAGAGTCATAACATCCCAACATGACAAAAGCACAGGAGAACACTACATCATGATCTCCAGGGACAATGCTTGCAATTAACAAGCAACACCAACATGGAGTCATGTGACAGATACCCAAGAGCAAAGTAAGATACATGAAATCCATAAACAGACAGCCACAAATTATACAAAATGCAGGACAACTGCCTCCAGTTATTCTACAGCCTTCTATAATGCCAAAAGAATGGTTTAGAATGCATGCATTAATAAATTACACAATCAATAACATCACCTGCAAGTAGTCTGAATTAAAATATCTTGTAAAGAGTTGAAAGCCATTGTGACAGTTTAAAGGTTCATACCAAGCACCAGGACCAGTTTTGCTTGTTGAGGCTAGTACCAAGAGTGTAAAGGGTTTCAGCTTGAAAAGTCGCCAATTCCAAAATATTTCGTCCCCCTGCCCCCTGAATACCACCCCAACCACCCAAAACCCTTGTTTCTATGCAGACTCTAAAAAATAAATATCAACTATACGGTTTGTAGCTTCTGTATGCTAAGCACTGAGCTGGTGCCATACCATATTACTGGGCAGTGACCGGCACCAACTAAGAAATCCCAGCTGAGCAGAACACGGGTTCAGACACCCGCCCGCTACCAGTAATGGCAACATTTTAGGTGCTGGAATTTGTATTTCCTTTTTTAATAAAGCTTTCATTATATTCATTTAAATATGTATTTCTAACCAAGTGTTTTCCATTACCGATTCAGGAAGTGTGTGCAGAATGTACAGACTGGGGGATCTGTAATTTATTCACTAAAATTTAGGAGCCAGAAACAAAATGGGGAAACAAGTTTTAGATGAAATAACTGACATTTTCGTGCAGAGCCTTTTTAGCCCGATATTTGCATTTCCCTGAGAATTTCTGGATTAGTGATAATCCTGATTACTGCATGTCATGTGGGGTGGGAATTCCAGGCAACGCATTCACAAAAGACGCATTCCCAATAGAAACACCTGTTTGATTTTTGTTACCAGCGGAGACACTATTATCCAGCAATATACTTTATAATCCATAACTAACAAGAAAGGCGCCCCAAAACACAGTAATATGGGATCCAAACACTGATTAGGAAAAGCATAGAACATGGACACAGATGATTCACTTTATAACAATAAATCACGTGACACAATCTGGGCTCAGACACTTGTTATTTACACAGGTTCCATACACCAGTCAATGTGAACGCCTGCTAATGCAATGTATAGAAATCAGCGGGGTCTGACAGGTAGCAGAATGGTTAGGGATCATTTACATCCACGCTCGTACAGTTAATATGAATATAGTCAGCATTAACAATTTCCTCTACATAAAAGATAGAACGTTTTACCCTGGTGAGTATTTATGTTTAAGTCATTTTGAATTTAAACACTGCAGATCCCCGAACCATCCTTTCCCAAGCGGTGTTGCTGCCTGAGTGTGATGATTGAGTAACAGGAATGATGTGCAAACCCCTGGATTAAGATAATGGGCTGGTAAAGCATAACTCAGAGGAGCTACAGCTGCCGGTTTTGCTGCCTGGAGGTGGTGAGGATATAGAGGATATACAGTGTCTAAATAATTGGACTTGGTACAGCTTGGTACAGCTCCTCAATACCTTGGATCCATTGACTATCGGCGATAACAGTGACAATAAATGGGTGGTCACAGAGCTGTCAGTGGATAATGTGGGAGTAGTAGAAGCCCAGCCTTAGGCTCTATTTATGAACCACCATCTAGTGGTCTCACTGCCTAGGAGTGATAGGATCTGGGGACACAAGGTCTAAGACTCCTGGTAGTGAGCTCCCACTGTGAGTCCTGCTGCCAGAGGTTAATGGGGGTGATGGAGACCTGGCCTCACAGACTAGCTGGAG